ACCCAGCAGTGATGCACCTGTAGAGAAAAACCCCAGTCTTGCTGGGTCCCCTAACAAGTTATACCCTGATAAAAATTAGGAAAGTACACTTCTTTTACTAAATCATGATTCTGGTTCAACGGCATCAACTGCATAATCTAATAAACTGCTTGGAAATCAAGTTATTTGGGATAATCTGTGAAATTACAGCAAGTGCATCTAAGCTTTATACATATAGTACAAATTTAAAACAAAGGGTTGAGGGCCGAGCCCGTGGCGCACTCGGGAGAGTGCAGCGCTGGGAGTGCAGCGGCGCTCCCGCCGCGGGTTTGGATCCTATATAGGGATGGCCGGTGGGCTCGTGAGCACGGTGCGGCCAGTCTCAAAAAAGGACAAAAGGACAAAAGAACAAACAAACAAACAAACAAACAAAAAGGGTTGATAAAATGGTCTGTAAAGTTTTCTTTCAGCTCTTCTTTTCTTACTTAAATGAGTCTCTATCTGAAGATTAATGGGAATCTCTTTTGTTCAACCTATAAGAGGCAAAGCAAAAACTCTCTTCTGTAACTCCAGACAGTTGTATCACTCATATGAGTAAGAGTGTCAAAATACTCTGAAGTAAGCATTAAAATGAGGCAATAAGTACAATTATTTGTAAAAGTTCAAGGTAAATCATGTTTTCTACCATTAAGACAGAGACATTTTTATTTCTTATGTTACTACCACCAACAATGGGAAAAAAACTGTTTTCATTAATAACTAATAATGAAAAATCAGTATTGCTGTAAAGTAAGTGATTAGGAGCCCAGAATGTAGAGCCAGACTGTCTGGATTCAAATCCTGGCTGTGTGCGACTTAGGGTAAGTTTTAATTTCTTTGTACCTTAACTTCCTTACCCTTAAAATGGAGATAATAATTTACCTCACAGCACTGTGGTAAGGATTAAACAAGTTCATATACATAAAGTGTTCAGGAGATGATCTGACACTCAAATAGTGTCAAGTGTTATTATTATTAGGTAATAAATGCTTTTAAAAAAGGAATAAAAACAAAATTATAAGTAATGTAAATAATAATAAAGAATACTAATTTTAATTAACCCGACTGAGAAATGAGAAAACCAGAAAATGTGGCAGACTATTTTCCAAATAAACTATGATTAAAACAGCCTTCTCATTTAAAAATGTGCTACAGACATTCAACATAATATGAAAGGTAATTCTTCTAATAAATAATGTTTTTAAATGCCAGCAACACATTTTGCTACAGAAAATTTTTTTGTGTTCCAAAGGCTTTGGACAAAGTTCCTATCTTACCTTCCAGCTCGACCTTTCCTCTGTTTGGCATTAGCTTTACTAACCCACTCAGCAGACATTGTACTGATGTTGTTCTGAGTATCAAAGTGTGTCTCTTTTATTTTTCCTCCATCTATCACGAAAACTACATCATCTATGGTAATGCTGTTTGGAAAATAGATACATAAAATATTAAAAACATATCAAAAGCACTACTAACCTATAACAGGCCTACAGATGGGAATTCTAGAGCATTTTTTATTGGTTCAAATTGATTTAAGCATTTAATGATTTTCACCCCCCTTTCAACACTTACTGATATTACCGGGATGAAGTGCCTAACAGTAGGCAGGATCAGTAGCAATAGTTGCAGTACACCGCCAGTTCTTCAGATCACATGCTCAATTCTTACGTGCCTACAACCAAAACTCATAGCTTGCCTGATGCCTTTTTATACCCAGCTATGTTGGCCCCTCAGTGCCATGAATTAACATCACCTTCCACAGAACAATCTGTTTCAGTGACTGAACTGTACATTAGTACCTCCAAGGGAATATAAGAAAATTTAAAGGCTGGATGCAACTAAATAACAAATATTACAACCCCAACCAGAAACAGGCAAAAATGACAAAATTGACGTCAGCTCCCATACTTTAGGAAAGCTTTAGGGAAAAAACGCTTAAAAGGCAATTTCTGAAGAGGGCTGAAACATTAGTATGGGTTTAAAAAAACGACCAAAAAAACTATGCTTACTGCCATGACCACATTAAAAAAAAAAAAAAAAAAAAAAAAAACTTTTTTTTTAAAAAATTAACAGGCAAAAATGACAAAATTGACATCAGCTCCCATACTTTAGGAAAGCTTTAGGGAAAAAACGCTTAAAAGGCAATTTCTGAAGAGGGCTGAAACATTAGTATGGGTTTAAAAAAAGACCAAAAAACCAAAAAAACTATACTTACTGCCATGACCACATTAAAAAAAACCACAAAGCTTTATTTTTAAGAAATTACAAATAATCTTGTAGAGGATAAAGACTAAGGTATGTCAATAATTTATGGGGCTCAAAACTTATGTAATCATCAGTAGTTGATATTTAAAACTATTTTTTACCTCGTCTCTGCGATGTTGGTAGCAATTACTATTTTCCGAACACCAGGAGGGGTTCTCTTAAATACCTGTAAGAATAAATACATCAAAATACCAAAAGTACACAAATTTCTAATATACTATTTTTGCAATTAGAGAAATTACTTCAGAAACTGCTCACTTTTTAGCAATCTGTGACATTTTTAGCATTCACTGACACGCATCTAATACTTATAGATATATTTAGGACATATACATAATTTTCGATACTATGAAGTTTTCTTTTGGTAAGCCAAACTAAATTTCCCGCAGGTGTCACAATCTTATCACAAACAAGATTTCAAATGAAATATGATCACTTAAGTTTATAGCATATCCTTTAACAAAAGCTGGAGGGTAAAAGGTACAAGGAGAAAAGTTTGAGTGTAAGAATGATGAGGCCAAACCTACACAGGTTAAGAACACTGACCAATGAGGCAGATACCCAAGCCATCAGAACAGATGTCGGCTTGAGATCAGACTGGAATTAAAAAAAAAAAAAAAAATCCTTCTCAAATGCTAATGCTAAATCCTAGAAACAGTACCACTCCTGACAATGCCCAGAAGTAGAAGAAAGACAGTTAAGCACCACTGGACATAATGCAAAAAAAAAATATATATATATATAAACTTAACCCCTTATTTATAAAAATGGTAATCAATAGAGAAAATACTGTTTCCTAGTCTAGCCACATATTCTGCAGCAAAGAAATACATAATTTGATATGTCAGGGTGTCAAAGATGGAAGTATCTCCACACCAGATACTCTTCTGTCCAATCTTTGGAATCCAGAGTGCTCTTGCTCCCCCCTTCTCTTCCCTCAGGTGTGTGCTCTACGTCTAAGTTGGCTGAGTCTTACACAGGACTAAGGTACCAGCAGAAGGATATTAAAAGTGTCTCAATAAAACAATCTTGATATTTTCTTACAGAAAGAAGAGTGAAAAAACTAGAAGGGAAGAGAAATAGATTTTCTGACCCATTTCATTCTACCAGGGCCTGCGAACAATGGACTTCAGGAAATTATCTTGCCTCTCAGAATGCAGTGTTCATTCAAATAAGGGAAATCCCTCTATCTGACAGAGCCAAAACATTCATAATGTATTATTGATAAAACAGGAAATCTCATACCTGTGAAAATATTAATTCTGTTAAATCAAAATCTCAGACATCAAGCTGTCATTTGTAACAGATAATTAAACTCTAGGCTGAGTTATTTTTAGTGGTACTCACATACCTTTTTTTCCTTAAATTCAGGAAACCCAAACAAATTATTGGTAAAAACAATTCTTTAAACTTTTTCCTAATGTTGAAAAAACTAATGTGATTTGTGGGTTACCCTCTGTTACTCAAATTTTTGTGTAATCATCCCCTGAAGACTCATTTGCAAAGGTTCTCAAGGAAGTATTTTTAATATGGATTACTATTTGAAAATGCTCCTTTAAAAAAAAAAAAAAAAGAAAAGAAAAGAAAGCACACAGTAAGTAGTCCTCAAAGCTTGTCTCAGTTTGAAAGACAGACAATAAATAAATTTTACAACATACCTGTGTCTGGTTAACTGTAGGCATCAGTGAATGTAAAGGTATAATAAGAAACTTATCTGAAAATTAATAAGAAAATTAAACTTTAAGATAAAGAGCTGCAGAAAAGCTTCATCAAACACACATGAAACAATGAATTCAGGTCCTGAACTACATAATTCTTAGTTTATATTTCTACATATAATCAGACCAACTTAATTTTTTAAATATTTTTTTCTGAGTGTCCCAACAAGTTCCAGTCGCCACTTTACTCTGTTAATTTATTTCAGATTGATAAGCATTTTCCCCAAATTCTTAGAGTGCTCATAAGTTGGGAGTAATCTTTTCAAATTATACCAATAAAAGATCATTAACTCTATTCCCACCACTTAACTGAAGACTTAAGAATTTTGCTTAATATGTATATAAGTTTGTACACTTCAGGTGATCCTCACTATTTTAATCCAACAGAAAATACCTAAATTTTTAGAGCAAATTACTTATTAAATATCTATGTCTTACTTAGAAAATAATACAATAGTTCTGGTTTAGTTTAACACATTCTAAAAGTAACCCACTTTTTTAAACATAATTTTGTTAAAAACAGAAAAAATTCTATTCCTGCTTTTTAAGTTTCAAAGTAAAATAGCTCAATCCCATTCATAATTATTAGTCCATAGACAAAGTTTGGTATAATAATGCAAAGAAGGGGGAGAGAGGGAGAATGTTAAAAAGTGAGGGCTAAAGGGTTAATTTCAAGTTTAATTATGGTTACAAAAACGCAACCTGACTTAAATCTCTAACAGTGTCCAAATTTTCCCAACAGAATGGTTGACATCTAAATGAGATATGGTGCTCCAAAAAGACTCTATGACTGTCTGAATTTAAAAGATTTTATGAATCTTAAAAAATAGTAAAAAGCTGTCCATCAACTGATGCCGCTAAAAAAGAATGCTCTGAATTACTTGTCTCTGTGACACAATATGAAATCAATCAACTACAAGACACTCAAACCAAAAACGCTTTACTTGAATTGAATCGAGCCTTCAGATGTAACTTCCAGGTTTCAGGAAATACAGGTAAGAGAGGACCAAATGAAGTGATGCCATAGTCAGACAAATTCAGAAATTGAACCCACTACAGGACAACTGGCCTGGTCTTTTCCACAAGTCATTACCATGGACAAAAGAAGGGAGTGGAAGGGAGTGATGCTCTAGAGCCAGAGTGAAAGATTTATCTGGTTTGACATTTTCTACAGTTTGAACAAGCTAACTGTAAAAGATAGTTTTGAAAAAAATGGGCAAATCTGATTATTAACTGGTTTATTAGACAATATTAAGGATTAGGTATGATAAACGGCATGGTTATATAGGAAATTTGTCTATTTTTAGAGATGCTTGCTTATATATTTAGGTATAAAGTCCAATAGCTGCAATTCACTTTAAAAAGGAAAAAACTAGATAAAAAAAAATAGTTGCTGCACTGAAGTCATGGGTATATGGTGTCCATTATGATTTCCTAGTTTTCTGTATGTTTAAAATGTTTAATTACAAAAAGTTTAAAAAGTTGGAAGCCAGGAATAATGAAAGTTAAAACAACTTTGTTGAAGGCAATAAAATAGGGAAAAAAATAATTTGCATTGAGTAAATGGGAACACAGTCTACACTATTATAAAAAGAAAGAAACAAGCAGTTGATAAGCATATAATAACTGAGTTCCAAGATTTTTTTTTTTAGTCAGTTCAAAGTTGGGCCAATTCCCCCCCCCCCCCCATTAATAGTGGCTAGATATATAATTGATTACTAAGGCTACATTTTTTTCAACATAATTTATTTAAGAAAAAATATTCTTACTACATTTTGGAAAGATTTCCTTTAAAAGGAATTGAGCTGGTGGTGGAAGTATAAATTGATACCTCTTTTCCTCAGGAATAGTTAATTCAAATTAGAAAGTTAATGATAATCTATCCCACCCTTTTCCCACTCCCTATCACATATATTAAATGTAATGATAATGTTACATTTTAGTTTATATCCTATTTTTATTAATAAATATTTACACACACTCATTTTTTAAAACCTATTAAGTACATCATACAGTAATGTTTATGATGGGGAAGAGGTCAAAGTTAGAAAATTCAGCCAAAAAAAAATTCCACTTGTTTAAAAAAAAATTCAGCTGTATAGTTTAGTCATGACTACACTTTTTCTTCAGAGAAAAGTTGTCACTGACAAGAAAAAGAGAAAAGCAGTGTTTCTTTACAAAGAAGTCAGAGAAATTAAATCAAAATATTTTACCAGCTAGACAGTAAATAATTCCAATTATACAGAATGCTTTGAAGGTATTATAACAGAATTTAACAAAGAATAAAAATACACCTTTACTATTTTAGCCAATATAATCAAAATATTTTCTAGTGCCTTCTAAAAATACAATGTGTCAAAAGCACTTCAATAAAGATGATAAATTATATTCAGAACTATAAATTACTAAATAAAATTGCTTGTATTTTATTAACTTCAAGTTGATAATGATTACTGAAAATGCTTTGACTGAATTTTATAGAAGAAAAATATCCCCATACATTTCTCTAAGATATAAGCGTTTGTCTTTCAAAACAAGCTATTTGGGCCAGCCTGGTGGTGCACTCAGTAGAGTGCGGTGCTTGGGAGCACGGCGGCACTTCCGCTGAGGGTTCGGATCCCATATAGAGACCAGTCCGCTCACTGATTGAGCGCGGTGCGGACGCGACACCGAGGGTTGCGATACCGTTGCCGGTCGCGGTACGGGTGCGACACCAAGGGTACGATCCCATTACCGGTCACGAAAAAAAGACAAAAAGGGAAAAAAAAAAACAAAAAAACAAGCTGTTAAAAAATCAGAGTTACCTGAGGAATTTATAAAAACTTCAGAGTTCGGGTCATATTCTTAGATTTGGGGTGAGGATGGGGTTTAGGTATCTGAATTTTAAAGAAGCTTTATGGTGACTCTTTTTCAGTCAGAGATCACAAACCCTAGGCTAAGGCTAAGGAATAAATTCGACTGTTTCCACAACAATGAGTGAAAAAACGAAAACACCCAAATGCCAACATTTTAATGTTAAAGGCTCAATTTTCCTAAATTTTGAAATTTAGGAAAAGAGATAAAATATTCTGTTCATAATACCCAATAAAGAAATTCACTAATACCCACCACCTTCATCTATGACCGAGCACTTCAGAAAAGATCTGACTTTTGAAAAAACCTAATAAAACGTGCTACACATGATTCAAACACCACCCTTGGAAGTGCAATAAAATACATATGTATAATACCTGATTTAAACATCATTTGTGACATCAAGAGATCATGTAAAGTGCTGATATTGTCCCAGCCTGGTAGAAAGACCAGTATTGCACCATCCTATGTGGAAGGGAAATAACTATTACAAAGGATCACGCTGATAAAAAATACTAACAGTAAAATTCTGTGCATACTTAAGTCTTAATTAAAATTATACTAGCTCAGGATAATCTTAGTTAATAGCTAAAAGATTACAAGTTCACTTTTTAAAAATAATCCAGATATTTCATTTGCTTATTACTCTTTTCTTCAAACAGGTCAAATGCCTAAATCTTCTTACTATTTTGAAATTCTTATTTCTAGTGTCAAAAGCAATTTCATCCAGTCTATTTTTTTAAAGCATTTAACTAAGTTATTTTTTTCAAAGCCTTGGTATGTTACAATAAAATTAAAATTATGTTACTTGAAGAAAAATAAAAAATAAAACTAACCTCTTCTTCCAAAACAATGTATCGGATAAGAGCAGCAATCAAATTCAGATCAACTTTATCGTCATCCATCATTTCTATAACATCTACAGTACTTGCAGAATACCTAACAGTTAAACAGAAAGTCATGAAACGCTTGATAGAGTCTCTTGTGGTTTAACTTGCTATGGAAGCTTAACTTAATCTGCAAATGGAGGAACAAAATCTATAGATAAGAGAAAATTACTGGGGTAATAAACAGTGTTTGTAAGTCAAATCAGCATGGCATTTTACTAGAACATGAGATTCATAACACTCTCCTTCAAGTATGTGCAAATTCAAGAAGACAACCCCAGCTTTTTGTTTTAATCATTTAGTCACTGCATTCTCACCTTCAAATAAAACAGACTTACCTTCTTCGCAATTCCCTTATATAATCTGGCCAGCGTTCTTTATAGACTGCTTCTTTTTCTTCTTTTTCTTGTCTATTTACATGCCCTTGCATGAAACCCCTCTTAAACTGGGATCTATGTTCTTTTTGTTCTGGAACATATCTAAAATAAAAAAATTCTTAAATATCTTCACTTTTTGAAACTCCTTGGTTTTAACTAACATCCGACTTTTTACATTTAGGATTCTAGAGAACATTTCATTATACTTTCTAGTGAATGCTAGTTTAAACAACAATTTATTTCTAAGTGTTGATGAATATATAAAACCTGACAGTTTAGATAAAAAGCATTCTTCTCTATTGAAGTATATGAACCTCGAGACAATATTTAGCAGTCAAAATTTTAAAAATACTAGAGTAACTTTTACTTTCAAGTTAAGTTTGCTATACAACAAAAGTTAACATTAATGTAAGTCCAAAATAACAGTTAATGACTGCCTAGCAGAAAAACTCAACTTTTAAAAACAGACTTTTTCAAACCTAACTGTACACAAGAATCCCCTGGACAGCTTGTAAAATACAGATTCCTAAATCCTATCCCTTGTGGTTTGGATTCATTAAGCCTGACTGGGGTGGTTAATCTAAGAATTTTAGCTAGTACCCCTGGAAGATTCAGATAGTGTATCCACAGACCTACAGACCCATGCTAGAGAACTATTTAATTCTGCTCAGTCACAGTTAAAGCTAATGGCAGATCCAGATTCAGCATTCAAGTCTTTTGTGTATCAGTCCAGTGTTACACTAGTAGTACCCCTGGAAGATTCAGATAGTGTATCCACAGACCTACAGACCCATGCTAGAGAACTATTTAATTCTGCTCAGTCACAGTTATAGCTAATGGCAGATCCAGATTCAGCATTCAAGTCTTTTGTGTATCAGTCCAGTGTTACACTATGCCTCATCAAGCTGTGGTGACTGCTGAAAATACAGAGGGCATATCTGCCCAAGAATTCTACCTACCACTGTGAGTTCTGAAAGACATGGGGAAGGAGAGAAACAAAGAAAAATAAACCTACACTTTAGCCCCAAAGCCTCTCAGAGTTTGCCTAGTGGATAACACCTCTGATGAAATAGAGGAGACTGGAACACAGACATCGGAGTCAGAAAGAACTGATGCCCTTGCTCTGCCACTGGATGACTACACCAAGGCACGACCTTGGACAATGTATTAAACTTCCTGCCTTTAGTTTTCTTATTTGAAAGATTAATACTCTTACAATAGTTACTGGCATGAGAATTTTTAAAAAGTGATAAAGCATAGTGCCTGATATATAGTAGACACCCAGAAAGTGTTAACCCCCTTCCCTATTCAGTACCTGTGACCCAGGATTCCCCTAAGTCTTCGATACATATAGAGGCACTAACTTGAAGTAGGGCAACCTGAGACAGAGATTGGTTCTAGTCGGCAGGATGGAACCACAGTTGGCTCCCTTCCCAGCAATTCCGGAAACAGCAGTAAACTTCAACCACCCTCACCCCCAGAACCCAGTCACAACCCTCCACATCATCTCACTCTATTCCTGGACTGGCCATTGTGTTTCTTCCTTTCTACTTCCCAGATGCACAAGTCTTCTGGGAAGAAGACAGCTGGGGGCTTCTTTACCAAGGACCACCCTCCTTCAACTTCCCTCTTAAAGTTGGTTAAAGGATGGCAAGGGCATAAATACCACCTTTTTGCTTAGAGATCCCTTAGCTACAGTTCCCTGTACGTGCCGTCTCCTAGGGAGCTTAACAAAGCAATTCATCATAATGTGACTTTAGAATACTGGTCTCTAAAACTTCATGTTCAAAAATTATCAAGCTGTTACCTATCATTCTCTTAAAAAGCAATTGCTAAATGTACCATGACAGGAAGTGAGACACAAGGTACAAAGTGAAATTGAAGAGGGAGTGCATAGAAAATTTATGGCCACTGATGGTACAACCAAAGGCATGAAAGACCATTAGACTTTTAGTACGTTCCATTCTGACATACATATTTTCCTCTTTCCTACTCTGATTTTCACTGCCTTCCTGATTTGCCCAGTCTATCTCTGACACATAATCTTACTTCTGATATACTCTTTGCTTCTCCCAGACTTTACATAATGGCTTATATGTCTCCCTGTCTAGATAAAAATAGAGGGTCTGTACCAAGTCTTTTTTATCTTATGCTCAGACTTTAGCACAGTGCAAGGCATAAAGTAAAGTTTAATAAATATTTGTTGAATAAATTTCCAATCAAAATTCAGCTGATTTTTGCCAAGTAAAATAGGCCATACGATCTCTGCTCTCACCTTTCCACTATCACTTCCTGGTTTTCTCATTTAACATGTGAGCTATAGAGTCATAAAAAATACCACGAAAGTGTTTCTACACCTATCCATTTACTTATTCAGATCTTTACTGTAGGTTAGGCACTGTGCTATGCCTTAGCTACTAAGATGAACAAGACAAAATCCTTGACCTTGCGAAGTTTAAAATCTAGTGAAAGAGGCAAATATAAAGAGATACACTGCATGGCAATAAGGTGTTAGAAGAGGTATGATAAAAGTGCTATGGAGTCCAGAGGAGAAAGTAACTCAGTCTGTGAGAGGTTTCGGAGAAGGCTTAACAGACAATTAAGCTAAGATTTTTCTTACATTTTCAAGAGTTTACAGATGAAAGGATGGAGAAGGTGGCAAATTAAAGTCTAACAAGAGAAATTAGCATGCAATAAAGCACAAACGCATGAATAAAGGAGCATGGTATCAAGAGTTTACAGATGAAAGGATGGAGAAGGTGGCAAATGAAAGTCTAACAAGAGAAATTAGCATGCAATAAAGCACAAACGCATGAATAAAGGAGCATGGTCTGGGAATGATGCATTTAGCATGGGTAAACCATGGGATGCATGACTGAGAAATGAGGCTTTAGAGGATGGGGAAAGACTGTAAAGGGCCTTGGGACGACTAGCTAAAGAATCTAAACCTGATCCTATGGGGCTGTGCTTTCCCAGCCATTTTCCCTTCAACGAATATAAATTTTGTACAGCCTCCTGGAGAAAGCTGCTAGCAGCTAACAGCCAGTAGCCAGAGTGTTGTTATTACATGGGCATATCAGCCGAGGTGCTCTGAAATAGGCCATAGTAAACCAATAAAGGCTTTTAAACAGTGTTTAAAAGAGACATCTCATATGCAAGAGGCTTGCCTAGGGGTAAAAAGCTTACATGACCAGATTTGTTTTCAGAAAAATGTATGGCAGCAGTTACAAGAGTGAAGACCACAGTACCAAAAGAGGAACTATCATATTAGCACAGGAGAGATAATAAGGACTTTAAGGAAAAGAAATAAAAATGAGAAGGCATGTTCAAGGAGAAAGCCCTCAGGGTCTGTGTGCTGGGGGTTAAGTACAAAATGAACGGGAATAACTTAATCATACAGCATATAAAAGCATGAGCATACCCTGGTACATAACTGCTTAATAAACATTAGCATTTTTGTTTTATAATTTTGAAAACTGGATGGAGGATAGTATCATTAACTATTATAAAGTACACTGGGCAAAACGTATTTTTTTTGGGGGGGTGGGAGAATTGTGGGGATCAAATATAAGATGATAATTTTGTCTTGAACAGTGTTAGGTTCAAGATCTCTGTAGTACTGGCATACTGCTGAGTAGAAAAAAAGTTCAGAATTCAGGAACAGCTTTAGTCCTGAAACTACAATGAAAGAAATGTGAAACTACAAAACCACGGTCATGGAAATAGACAGGACCGCACAATGAAAACATAAAAGACTGAGAATGCTGGGGGATATCATATTTGAAGGGTAGGCAATGGAAGCCAGCAAAGGAGAATGAAAACAGAAGAACCAGAAGAGAAGTCCAAACACTAAAAACAGAGATTCTCAAACTTTGCTGCCCAGTGATCTTCAAAAAGTACTGATGCCTGGCTACCACCCCAGACATTGTAATTTAATTTTAATGAATGGAATATGAATGGGGCATCTGGATTTTTAAAAGCTCCAGGTAATTTTAATGAGCAGCCAAGTTTGAGAATCCCTGAATCATGGAAAAATAATATTTTAGAAGGAAGTGGTCAAGGATGAGTTTCTGAGACTAAAGTTCAACATAAGAAAAGTGACACGTTAGTACTTTTTAGTTTCTTTTATTTCCCAATGTTTACTTACCTTATTTTTTCAATTATGTCTTCCAAAAGATATTCTACAACCGGAAAAGTAAAACCAGGTATATGTATCATAGGACAGTTACCTATTATGGCAGACAAAACATAAATATAAATCTGTGATCAATTATTAAAAAAAAAAATCAATATGCTAGAAATAGGACTCTATTACTATTCTTAACTTCAGAATATGGTCCAGTAGCTTTTACAGTTCTTCCTTATTTTTCCATATCAAGTTTAATAAATAGCAGCAGTCTAGTCTTCATTCAAGACCATTTTACTAACAAACTATACACACATCTCACAGTTCTACAGAATAACACAGAATATCAAAGCACAGAGCATTTTAAGTTGAATTCAATATCCCCATAAGTTAGAAGTCTGTTTTCTCTTCATCATTAGCCTAAATGATGCTACAGTAGAACTCAAGTTTTACTGAAATCTACATAAGAAGCATTACTCCTTGTAGCACCCAGAATTAATGAAAAAAAGTAGTCAAAATAAGACCTAATCAAATATTAAACTGTCACTATTTCAGAATCACTAATTATAAAAAATCTTTCCAGTATGTTACTTACATGTTATTTATGTTTCATAAGAAAAAAAACAAGTAATAAATATGTACACACTGTAAACCAAGGCCAACACCACATCACAGGTCAAAATATCTGAGCTGGTATCAATATTCTGTCTTTGATTTGCATAAATTTGAGCAAGTTACTCAATGTTAGTTCTAGGTGTTTCATTGAAAAAAAAAAAAACATAATATCAGCCTTGACTAATCTCATAAGGCTTTAAAGATTAACTGGAATGCATATTAAAGGATAATTAAAAACTAAAAACAAAAATATTTATTAAATTTAGTTATGTTACATTTTAATTCCCTCCCTTTCCCCTTCCTTCCTCCACAATTATAAGCATGAAAGACACTGAGGCATAATTTTAAAAGAATGTACTTGGCAGCTAGTCAAATCTAATTTCAGATCCTCTCGTCCTTCTGTTAATTATTTTCCTTCCTCCACAATTATAAGCATGAAAGACACTGAGGCATAATTTTAGAAGAATGTACTTGGCAGCTAGTCAAATCTAATTTCAGATCCTCTCGTCCTTCTGTTAATTATGAAACCTTGGTAACCTACTCAACTGCTCTGAGACTGCCCTCTCATCTGTAAAACAGGAAAAATAAAAGTACCTACCTCACAGGTATTATGAGGATTAATGAAGACAAATACACTACCATTTGGTAGTGCCAAATATACTATCTGGCACAATGAAGGTGCTCCTTAAGTGGTCACTAGTATTATTAACAAACTGCCACCATAGCCTGTGATAGTACATAAGAACCACAGAAGAATCACAAAAACATGTTTATGAAATTACTCAAATCTGTGGTTTGACTTCGGTGATGCCACCTTAATTGTCTGGTGGTGGCAACATGAAGGTACATATCTTCACTATGAGAGCAGAGATGATGCCATTATTTTAAAATAGGCCCAATTCTCTGATTCATGAAACTAGAGGGTAGAATAATTTTAAAATAAAATGAATTGCTAAACATTCATTTTGACTATTCTGTACACAGCACTATATTAGTTAAAAAAAAAAAAAGATTCTGTGGCTTTCTGCTATGTTTTCTAATGTAATAATCATAAATTTTACTCACCAAAATATTCTGAAAATTTCTCGGCATTCAATGTTGCACTCATCAGTATTACTTTCAGATCAGATCGAAAATTGAGAAGATCTTTAATAACAGTCATTAAAACATCTGACTGTAGATTTCTTTCATGAATTTCATCAAGCACAATATGGCTAACACTGGACAAATGCCTAAAGCAGAAATGTGAAGTATGGAATTCACTATATTATTTAAAAAAAACTATTTTTCTTTAACAACTAATAAAATCCAATTTAATAATTATACCTTTTGATAATATTTATAAGTCTTTAACTGAAATACACTCACGGGTCTGACTGGAGCCACTGAAGGATGATTCCTGTTGTACAGTATAAGATAGAACCCTGTTTCCTTGGCAACCGACTATGGATAAAAAACATAAGTTAATAATTCTTGGTTTTCTTTTCTTTTCTCTTTTTTTTTTTTTTGTGTCTTTTTTTTTTTCGTGACCGGTAAGGGGATCGCAACCCTTGGTGTGGTGTCGCCCTCACCACGCTCAGCCAGCCAGCGCACAGGCCATCCCTATATAGGATCCGAACCCACAGCAGGAGCGTCGCTGCGCTCCCAGTGCCGCACTCTCCCGAGTGCGCCATGGGGTCGGCCTCTTGGTTTTCTTTTCTAATAATTTACTAAGTACCACAAAACTTTAAAAGAAAACCTCTACACTTAATTTTTTAGTTATAAGAACACCTAACACAATAGGGTAATAAAAAACACTACACTCAAGCTCATTATACATTATCTTTGTTGACATAATCCAATGTTGTTAATTTCTTCCTAAAGGCATAATTATTTACATTAAGAGAATGACAGAGTTACTTATGGGCCCTAAATTTCTGGTTCAGTGATTGGAAAGTCTGCTCATTTAAAAAGGTAAATGGAATCCTGAGCTTCAGAAAAGACTAAAGAAGTACAGTGGAGCTGGATGGGTGGTTAAAAATACTAAAATCAATAAATTATACCAAAAGGTGTATACAGGAAGCCAACTCTTTTCAGAGGGAGTGACACTCTACTAATATACAGTTGGTTCTCTGTATCTATGGGTTCCGCATCACTATTCAACTAACTGCAGATCAAAAATATTTGGGGGGGGGAAACAATAAAAAACAGTACAATAGGGCAGAGCCCGTGGCGCACTCGGGAGAGTGCGGCGCTGGGAGCGCAGCAGCGCTCCTGCCGCGGGTTCAGATCCTATATAGGGATGACCGGTGCGCTCACAGCGCTCACTGGCTGAGCGCGGTGCGGCCAGTCTCAAAAAGGACAAAAAAAAAAAAAAAAGGACAATAAAAAAAATACAAATTAAAAACAAAACAGCATGACAACTATTTATACAGCATTGATAGTGTATTAGGTATTTCAAAGAATCTAGAGATGATTAAAGGTAAACAGAAAGATGTGTGTTTGTAATATGAGGATACCTCAAAGAGTTTGTGGAAAAACAGAATTAAAAGATAATATGAATCTTTCCATGAACTTTTTAAAATGCCTCACATGAAAACAGAATGCCATTTTATATAAGGGACTTGCTATCCATGGGGGTCCTAAAAGCAATCCCCCACAGATACTGAAGAATGACTATATGTCTAGGAAAAAGGTTATTCATTCCATAATGTAAAAGCCCATTAAAGAAAATCTCTACACTTAATTTTTTAGTTATAAGAACACCTAACACAATAGAGTAATAAAAATACTACAGTTAAGCTCCTTATACGTTATCTTTGTTGACATACTCCAATGTTGTTAACTTCTTCTTAAAAGTATAACCATTTATTTATTCCATAATGTAAAAGCCCATTTTAAAAAGGCAATACAAATCTGATTTGGAGTTAAAAGATGACTTTGTGGTAGCATGCCATCAATGCTGCAGCAGTTGCTGTTAATGTTAATTCCACGGCTGGTTGGTTAGCTCGGTTGGTTAGAGTGGGTGTTATAACACCAAGGCCAAGGGTTTGGATCCCTATACCACCAGATGCCAAAAGAAAAAAAAAAAAAAGGATAATTCTAATAGTAATAACCAGCATAACAATGGGGAAAATCTCCTTTCTTTTGAATCTTCAGCTTCAAAGTTTCAATAAAATCTACCTGTATACAAGAAGTGAACATTCCTTACCTCTGAAGACGAATTTGGTATCCTGTACTATTACCATTGCCACAAGATTCCGCCCTTTCTGCAGCCACTCTCTCTGCAACCTTTAATTTAAATAATATACAATTACGAAGAAAATATAATTTCCTTTAGGACAAATACCCTGAAAATCCATGAAAATCTGAGATTATTAAAAAAAAAAAAGTTTCTTCAGATTTTCAGATGAGTTAAAAAATAGAGATATTTATTAAAATCTGAGGTATCTAAAAGTGTGTGTGCCCTTCTTAAGAGGTGAAGATTACTTGCTTATTATGTTTACTTTCCATTTCCTCTTATAAAGTCCTTCAAGGCTAAATTCTCTCTCAACACTATTTTCAAAGTGTCTTTCTAGAGTATCCTCTTGCTAATTTCTACCTTTTTTTGTTCTTTTCAAAAAGAGTTAGAAATCATGCTCTAAGCCTGTAAAACTTGTATAGGTCAGTAATATTAATACTTTCTTCTTTTTTTTGTTTGTGGTACAGACTGGTGTAGTTCTATATTACATGACTTAGAGATGTGATAAATAGTTTTTGATACCACAAAACCAAAGACAACCATAAATCTTCAAAATTTAAAGTTACACTCAGAATTATATAACATGGGAATACATTCACTATACACACTAAACGTTATAAGAAACCACAAATATCTTTAAAAAATATATAACATATATTCAACTAGATTAACTAAAAACGAGAAAAACCAATGTTATTTGTAATAACATGTATTTAACAACTATTACTTGGGCTTGTCCTCTTGAAATTTTGAACTTATCAAGATTAGGTAGCCTGGATCACTTAAGCAAACAAGATAAATCTGAAACAATGCCTTCTTCCTCATGATTAATGTCCTCTTATTGAGCAGCTGCATTAAAATATCACTGACTACAGAAATGCAACTTAAAAAAAAAAAAAAAGGCTTCTGCATTTTCACCACACCATTCGTTGTTCTCACGTACTGAAAAAACAGTAAGAGAGAATTGAAAACAATTTTGAATAAACCAAGTAGTAAAATTTAAAGCACCTAATGATGAAGATTATTTGAAGCTTGTAATCAATTCTATAAACATTTTATCAATTTTTTATTCTTTTGGATTTATAAAGAAACTTGTCTGGATTTATAAATCATCTTGAATTCATAAACATGTGTTATATGTAAGACAGAGTTTACTCAATCTTTTGGCCTTTACTACCAAATATTTGTCAGCCAAATATTTGTTTTCATAGCCATAAATCCTAGGCCTAACTAAGAATTACTCCAAGTCTTCAAAATCAGTAAGTTTTAGCAAGATTACTTAAAGGAGAGTGAATTAGATAAAAGAGGAAATATTAAAAAGTGAGAGATTACTTACTGAAATGGCACTAATTCTTCTTGGCTGAGTACAAACAATCCTGCAGGCAGATCCTTTTCCTCTTTCAATGTAGTTATCCAAAATGAACTGAGTAACTTGAGTGGTTTTTCCACAACCGGTTTCACCACTTATTACTGTTACCTGATGGTTACTGATTAACTTTACCAATTCCTATTTCAAAAGGGAAAACAAATGAAGAATATCACGAGTTGCCTAAGTCTAAAAGGATATCAACCAAAATTCTACCAAACTGAAGGTAATTAATGTTTTTAAAATTTTCTCTTATGTGATGCTGGCAGTTTGGGTATCTGGATCTACCCATTTTCAAGAGACAAACAGCACCAAGTTACAATGAACAGAGCACCAAATTATAATGAACAGAGCCAAGGTACTGTTAAAGAAAAACATACTGACTAGAACAGGAAGAAATATCTCTTAAGTTCCATGAGAATTAACATTAAATTAAAAGAATGCTGACATTTGGGGCTATTGAGTACAGAAGCAAACCCCTGACCTAAACAACTATTGACATGATGGATTTATATCCCAGTTCATAAATATGGCTTTGTCTGCAGGACAACTTTTGTACACTGTCTTAAGAACAAGGAAGAATACAATGTATTTCAACATTATTTCTTTTCAAATAATTAAAATAAAGTTTTTAAAATACCTAAATAAAACAGGTAAACTTTAGCTATCTAGAAAAAGATCTTCCTTCTTACAAATTTTGGACATACACTAATATTTTTAATATTAATATTTACTGTATTAATAAAACCATCCTACTACTTCAAAAGGGTGACATAGGTAATTTTCATCTACAAAACAATTTAAATTGAAAATCTACCTTTAAAAAATTCCCCATTTATTCTAACAAATTGTATATATCAGAACAAGTTTCAAGTTTGAACACTGAAATTACAGCTGGTAAAAACTGAGACGTGGAATGTAATTCATTCATTCAATAAATATTTATTGGATGTCTACAGAATGCCAAGTATTGTTCTGAGCCAAGTGAACAAAACAGTGAACAAAATAGACCTTGTCCTCAAGAACTTACACTGGCCTAAGAAGGAAAGACACACAGATGTCAGGTGGTAATAAATTCTATAAAAAGCAAAGAAAAATAAAAATAAAATAAGGTTGAGAGGACAAAGAAGGATGAGGAACTATATTATTCTAAATAGGGTAACTGTGTGATGAAGCATAATAAATTAACTAAAGCATTATATTTTTAGTAGCATTTCTTTTTTTTCCCTGATAATTCCACTTTATTACTTTCAAATACTAAACTTTAAAAAAAAATTTTTATTAATATTATTTTTTACATTCTATGTTGTTGTTGTAGAGCAGATGGGAGGGAGGGGGAGAGGGTAAAGGTAAAGGAAATGGGGTGGGAAGAGGATGGAAATTTCTTTTTTTTCCCTGATAATTCCACTTTATTACTTTCAAATACTAAACTTTAAAAAAAATTTTTTATTAATATTATTTTTTACATTCTATATTGTTGTTGTAGAGCAGATGGGAGGGAGGGGGAGAGGGTAAAGGTAAAGGAAATGGGGTGGGAAGAGGATGGAAGAGGGGTGGGATTGAGGCCTGTAGCACCCCTCACATTCCCACAGGGGAGACTGGTGGGCTTCCAGTGGGTTATTGCCAGGCTGGGTGCAGATGTCAAGGGGGTGTGGCAATAACCTTCGCCCCCCACCACCCTAGATCAGGAACCCGAGGCCCTTCTTGCTGAGGCTTGCAGGTCGTCCCTGGGCTGGTTGAGTGTGGCAGGGTGTGTGGCCAAGACGATTGGTCCCCCACCACCCTGGCTGTGGAGAGCCCGGGGAGTAGTGCCTCAACTCTAATCAAAGTGTTTGGTCTTGAATTAAGAGCAGGGTATTTATCCAAAGTAACTTATATGTGAAAATTCTATTTCTTAAACTCCAAAGATTTCAATTATAGACCTTAATATGAGAAAGCTTCAAGAAAATTGTTTCATGACCACTTTTCTTCGTCTTTCAACAATTTAAAAGAATAAACTTCCGATAATACCCTTTAGAAGGTTCATTAATTTACATTTCTTCTTGATATACAGCTTTAAAAAAAACAGTGTAACTATTTTACAAATCAAATTAAATAGTGTAAAGCATTTTACCTTTTGCATTCCATATGAAGGCAGCTTTTCCCTGAAATGCTGAAATTAAAAAGAAGTTTTTAATTTTCACAAAAGAAATTTAATCAAATTATAATCATGATAATCAACATATATTATAGTAAATATGCTAGAATCCAAAAATATTTTTATTATCTTATAGCGTGTATGAAGTAATAAGACTTAAAAAATTTTTCTATATTAAAAAAAATTTCCCTTTTATTTTTGAAATATTCAAAAATAGAATTCTATTAAATCCAAAAGAATGAAAATAGTTCTTTAAAGTTAGTGGCATTACACTGTATACAGATATTGATATTTGCATGTACTCAGTACCCCACAAATGTTTAGTCAATTATTTTTCAATTAAAAAAATAAAGTTAGTGGCAGTAAGATGAAATCTGAAAATTACTTTTACCATTTTTTCTATTTGTTTTATATATTCATCTTAGACTTGATTTCTACAACACTTTTGTTTTTCCACCCCATCAGTGCACCATCTACTAATGTATTATGTACTATAGCAGATTCAGAGATTTCAGGGTACTTGCCTTTGAGTGTTAGAGAAAACTCAGAACAAATAACATATGTCAGAAAATCTGGTACTGCCATTTAGAACTGAGATCTTAGTTAAGACAAACTCAGAGCGTGAATACCTCAAATGTTTCATCTCGGAAGGTTGTCAGAAGATCTAAATGAAAAACCTTTATATAAAAAGTAGCAGTTTCTGACACATAAAAGCTATTTGACAAATTTATAATTTGTTGAATTACAACTGAAATACAGGTTGAGTGAGTACCTCTTATTTGAAATGCTTGGGACCAGAAGTGTTTCAGATTTCAGATTTTTATATTAGGGATGCTCAAACTGTACTAAAAAGGGAGTGACATTCTTTTCTACATTTCTTTTATTTATGTGCCAATTTCTTTCTAATTTTGAAAACTTTTGTGGAACCCTATACCCACAGTACATAAATACATTAAAAAGCAGTACTATGATAAACACTAAAAAGCGGTATATACGATGATGTATGTTCAACTAGGTATACCACATAACATGAAAAAATCAGTGGCATAAAAATAAGCCAGTTTTAAGAAACTCCCTTTATTAAAAAGGGAAAAAACTTATTTTAAAAAATAAAATTAAACATAAAAAATAAATAAAAATAAAATCAGAACTGTCCTAGCTAATCTATTATTGCTATGTTTGTTATAGCCATGCAATTCCTACCAGTAACATAAAAATGAGTCAATATAACTTAAATGAATTCTAATGCTTTGAAATAACAAGTCACCATGCTTTTCTTACTAAGCAATAAAATCAGAACTGTCCTAGCTAATCTATTATTGCTATGTTTGTTATAGCCATGCAATTCTTACCAGTAACATAAAAATGAGTCAATATAACTTAAATGAATTCTAATGCTTTGAAATAACAAGTCACCATGCTTTTCTTACTAAGCAATAATTTTTAAGTTAAAAACAATTTCTTAATGACATCAAAAACTATTACTATCCCATGCAGTCAAATGTAACCATCTTAACATATAAGTATATACAAGCTACCCCACTGCATTTCAAACTGACATTAACCATATTTGCTCTCTGTACATGTAAATGTTGCTGGATAGAGTTAACACCCAATATACTTTCCCAAACAGCCAAACCTTCTGTTTTCTAATTTCTGGCTATAACTGAGAAAATGTATTTATAAGCTTTCTGAGGATAGGGAATGTCTTATTATTCATTAAAAAACAGCATAATAACTGGCATTTAGCAAGCAGAAAATTAATGTTTATTAAATAAATTATAACAAAGAAAAAATACTTCACATTACCAAGAAGGATCAAAAGTTGAGTTCTTAAAGACACCTGAATTTTAGACCTGGTTTTGTTATTTATTAGCTATGCAACCTTGGGTAGGTAACTTAACCTAAAATTCTTTTTCCTCATCTGTTAACAGACATGTATAATCTCTCATGCAAGGTTTAAATGATGTAGTACATGTGAAGTATTGACAACAGTGTCTGGGAGACAGGAAACCACAAACTGTTTTTATGTTTTACACATTTCTTCTTTCTCTCTAATAGATCAATCACCCACCTTCAATAATATTTGAATTCTGCTCACCATACCAAGCAAAGAGAGAGACAGTAATTAACTCTCCTTATTCCTAAGGCTAAAAAAGCAGCAGCTCTTCTCTCAACCACAAGATTCTGAATTAACTCATCTTGAAATCTCCTCCATCCTTAAATCATATTTTACTCAACAGGCATCAAAAAGCTATAAAATTTGGCTCCTGGACAACCTCAGCTCAGCTGTTCTAATCAGGAAATCCAACTTTTATCAATGACAGTCAATGAATCCCTTCTTTCCTACAGGAGATGTGATGTTCTGCCTTTCTCAAAAATGGCAGTATGTATATGCATATGAAAGATATCGGCTTGGAATTCCGTTTTCTCTTGAAAATACATATACATATGCTATGGGTCAAATGTGTCATCCAAAAGTTCACATGTTGGAAACTTGCTCTCCACTGTAACAGTAACAAGAGGGTGGGAAAATCCGACTGTGTCATTTGAACAAAGGGGCCTTTGAGAGGTGATCAGATCATGAGGACTATGCCTTCCAGAATGGACTGACCCATTCATGGAATAATAGGATGATGGTTTAATGGACTGTCATGGCACGGACTGGTGGCTTTATAAGGAGAACACATGAAAGAACTCCTGCCATCCCTGCGATGCGATGCTCTTTGTTGCAATGGGACTCTTACAGGTCCCCAACCGAGAGCGGCCCTCACCAGATGTGTTTCTTGGACCTTGGACTTCCCAGCCTCCAGGATTGTAAGAAATAAATTTTATTTCTTTATAAATTACCCAGTTTCAGGTATTCTGTTATAAGCAACAGAAAACAGACTAATACAACATATATATGAATATTTTATTACAGCTATATCTAGAACACCCACAAACCAAAGAATTTTATGTTTTAATTTGAAGAGACTTTAAAATATCTTGCCTAGCATGGAAAGAAAATACTGAAATAATTCAGAATTTCAGTTCTTGTCACAGTCCAGTACTTAAAATGTTGCACATAAACACAACACATAACTTTTGAAAGATTTAATTTTATCATCTGTAAAAGGAAAGAGATGGATTAAATGACCTGGGAAGAAACTTTAGAATTCTAACTGCCTTGACTCTTATGCTATCTCACTAAACTGGCCTAGAAAAGGTAGAGCGATTTTTTAAAATTTGTACTAGCATTTCTCAAACATTTCTTTTCCCTACCACATAAGCTTCTGTGGATGAGATAGGACATTGTAGGTTAGGTGTACTTTCCCTCCCCATTGCTTTTCTCTACATTCAATAAGAAAAAAATTCCTGCAGCAGATGTCTTGTTGAAGAATCTCACTGATCTATACCATGCAGCTACCTCTAACCATAAATATATTTTTACCAACTGAGAAGTGAATGACATGTAAAAATTTTTTGCACATCTTACTTTACATTACCTGCATTTCAATATACCGAAGGTCAGTCTTTTTCTTTTGTAAATCTTCTAGTAATTGTTGGTCTAAGGTTACATCTGGTTCATTTTCTTGCAAGAGATATTCAGAATCTCGGTCGAAGTATGATTTGTTTCTGATTCTAAATGTCCTTGTTTCCTGATTTATCAGTTTCTTTTCCTGGTCAAGTTTCTTCTCTGAGCTTGTTTTTTTCTCAGCAGAAACTTCGGTACCATATCTATTTTGAGAAAATAAGAAACGAAAAAAAGTCAGATGAAGAGCCACTCATGCCTCGGAACCAAACAAAACAATAGGCTGTTACATATTTCAAAATCACCTGAATCAAAAGCTTTAATTCTTTTTTCTTAGTAAAACAATTATGAAATACATTTAGATTCTTATAATGAATTCAAAATTTTCCACCCTTTCAGTGCATATTGCCAGATAATTTATTTTTTGTGATAGTTAAAAAAATAAAAATAAGACATTCTTCCAATGCAATTACTTACAGTGTTTTTCTTTTTCTGATTTTCTTGGACTTGTTTTATTTCACTTCTGCATTTTCTTCCTGCCACCCTTTCTGAACTATAAATGTGATGTTATATTACACAGTCTCTGAAATATTTCTACTAATTTTTCCTCCAAATAATACAGTCTTGCAACATTCTGAAAACATCAGCAATTTAACTTCTGGTAGACGTTCCACAAAGGAATTTCAGAAATACAAAGATGATGGGTAGAAAGAACAAAAAATAACTAATACATCTCATATCCAACTAAACTATTATTTCTACTATTTAGCTTTTCTATCGGAATATACCATCTAAATTTTTTTTTTTAACCTTTCTCCAAATTTGTTTGATCTACATAAGAAAAAAGAACTACTTCAAAACTAAACATGTTATTTTATTACCTTTTTTTTTCTAGCCAGTGCTATGAGAGAAGTGTTACTCTTTGCCTATTATTTAAAAAAACATTGTTTTACCCATGATCCTCAGGAGCAAACCAGGATATCTGTGCTTCTGAATCTTTATCATTCTTAGCTTGAACAGAATTCAGCAGCTGCACAATTTGCTCTTCTCGGCGTTCATCCATGTGTACCACAGCTCTCTATTTTGTGCAAATGAAAAAGCATCTTTGTCAAAATAAGAAAGCATATGCAAAATTATTTGATAAATAAAAAGAAAGACAAAGTAATATATGTTCAACAAACATATATAAAAGAAAGTTAAAGTTATCCACACTTGCTCTCTAGCCCAATCCCACTTCCTAGACCTGATAGTTAACATTTTTGTATCCTTCTAGAACTTTTCCTACCACGTACCTATAAAATTAGCTACAATATAATTGGCAAAGAAATCATATTTATGTCCCTTCTCACAACTTTGGTTCTCCTACCTCCTACCCTCACATACTAATTACTATAAATTTTTCTCTATCTTAAATTTTCAAAGTTACTAAACCCCAAATGTTCTGTTAAAAATAAAGCTGAAAACTGGAAACGATATTTTGGTTGCAATGAGCATTTGAAAGTTCTTACACTTAAAAGAAGAACAAATTGGGAAGTAAAAAGCCTGGGTTCAGAGGGAGTAAATAAAATCAATCAGTGCTCATGGAGATGGTGATCCAATGTGGCCAATGGAACAGGTGCTTCAGAGAATAAGAATAAAAAACACACCAGACTGACAAAGATTAAGGGTCTTGCTGAACGAAGAACATGTTTAGAATCCTCAAATATGCACCCAAGAAATTTAATTACAGGACAAGGTAAAAAAAAAAAAAGGAATGAATGTCAAACCCAGTTCTTTAGGGACTTTTGTTCTTTGGATATATCAAGTTTAAAAACAAACTCTTGAAATCTGTGGGCCTACAAACCTCAGTTCTTTAAGATCCAGACTTAATAACGTGTGTATGAATCCATAGGCAACTGAAAACACACGACAAGAGTGCTGAAAATGAGAGTCTGTTAGTTTAAAGAACTAAAGGGGGAGGAAGGTCAAAGTAGGAGGGTACTTCCAAAAGTTTGTGGAAAAATAGAATTAAAAGATAATACAAATCTTTTCATGAACTATTTGAGGTATTCTCGTATGAATGAAAAGATATAACAGTTAAAAATCGGAGTAAAGAAACCTTAAAACTTAATGACTATTTAAAGGAGGCTGGGGAGAAGGCAAGAGGAAAGAAAAAAAATCAAAGACAACTGTTTCAAATTCAATGTTGGATCCTGAGAGAACAGCAGGAAGATCACTAGAGGAAGCTGCTGTGTGACAGTGTGCATTTTTATGTACATGTGGTGGTGGTGAAGGTCAAATAGAATGCTAATTTGTATTTTAGGCAATTAAGTAAAATGGTGAAATTTCCCAACTGTAATAATTATTAGGCAGATGCAAATATGGCACTGGATCACTGGAGAGATTTTATGCTTTTAGAGTTATGATAGAAATTCTGAAGTGTTGTGCAAAAGAGCTAGAAGTTGAAATCACAGAGATATAGGAGTTCTCACAGTTTAGAAAAAATACCTCCTCCACAGAGATGGGAAGAAAACTTGGACAAAGTCTGGCATTCAAGAGGCCAAAGCAGGAAAACAAGTCTGAGGAACAATCAAGAAGGACCAGTCAGAGAGTAAGCAAGAAACTAGGAATAGAATGACGAGCCAGCCCTGTCAAGAGAACAGTTTTAAAATGGAGGATTCAGATGCATAAAATTGCAGTTAGACATAACTAAGGCTAAGAACTGAAAAAAAATACTATTGTATCCAGCAAGTAGGTAATTAGGAATAACCTTCAAGAAAGTGTTTTTGTTTTGGGGTGTGGGGATGCCGGGGTAGCTGAAGCTAAGAGACTAATGAAATAAATAGTAAACAGCAATGGGGAAAATGACCATTAGTCTGAGATCAATGGTGAATTACAGAACAGTGAATTTTTTTTTTCCCCACAGCATCCCACAGTAAAACTCATGACCCTGTAAAAACATATACAAATAAGTAAATGAAAAAATGGGGAAAATGACCATTAGTCTGAGATCAATGGTGAATTACAGAACAGTGAATTTTTTTTTTTCCCCACAGCATCCCACAGTAAAACTCATGACCCTGTAAAAACATATACAAATAAGTAAATGAAAAAGTAATTGCACAAAATATCTCCTTTATTATGTACAATGTAAGCCATATCTTCTCTTCCATGTATTCTATCCCAATTAAACAAACAGTAAAAGAACTGGTCATAACAAAGTTTAAAGTTTAACCTGAAGTTTGAAAGCCCAGGTGGGGGTGGGGGTATAAATGGGTCCCAGTAGATCAAGTCCTGAGCATGTTTCAGACAGACAGAATACAGAGGGTTTTATCAGACATTCTAATTCTGGGCAGTATAAATAGCTTTGTGAAGGTGCAAATAATCTGATCCGATAAAAATAACGAAATAGTATTAACAATAAAAAAAATGAACATGAAGAAGCAAAGCAAATGAACTATCTACCCCTCCATGCTCCACCTCCATCTTTGAAGGGAAAATGAGAGATTGATTTCAGTTGTGAGGATGACAAAGCTCTCTACTAGAGGTCCTCCTAATGTATGTCTTGATGTATGTCTGTTTAATCAGAAGACAACTGTATTCCAATGTTTTCAGTTTTTCATGTTAACTCTTTATCCTGGATTTTGTTTAGTAAAGAATTTTCTGGATTGCCACCCCACCCCCACATAAAAGCACAAAAGATTATTCTAATTTTATGAGATTTCAGACCCATTGGGAAAAGTAGACACTGAACAATGTAACATTCTACAGAAAATAAAGAGATCTACACAATCCTTCAGTCCAAACTATCACAACAAAATCAGTTTCCTTGAAAAATCAGTTTCAGTTGATAGTCTTTTAAGATACCTTACACAATGCAAATGTTGCAAGTAATCATTTGCTAATCAATAAGGAATTAGATCAATATAATAAACCCAGGGGTTAAGAGCGAGTATATCTTTCTACAAATGTACAGACAGGAAACGTGTAGTAAGATCTTGTTTTTATTACCATCAATTTAAAAACAGGTTATTCACTCTCCACATCCTATACTTTTTGTAGTATTTCTGCCAGTTATAATTCTGGTACATGTTAGATAATCCAGAAAATCATGTCAATTGAAGGAATGAATGGTTGAATCAATCTTCTACAATGAGCATGTATAATTAGCCCCTGAAAACATAATTTACACTTTTAAAATGAAAACACAATTTCCATTTTTTTACCCATCAAAGGCAAAATGGAACACAATTTACATTTTTTATGAATTATTTTTAATGAGGTTCTCACCACAATGAGGATCCAGAGGCTTCAGGCAGTGGCAAGAACACAACTAAATTCCAAACCTAGATCTTGCCTTTCTTTCTAGGTTGCCTCCCTCCCAAGTAACTTTCTTCCAGTTCCACCATCCTTCACTTTACCCCACTCCCTGCCTGAAGAATGTCAGATACATTATGTTTCATTTTTTTTTTTTCCTTTTTGTCTTTTTTCGTGACCAGCAACGGATCGCAACCCTCAGTGTCGCGCCATACCGGACCGGGACTGGCAACGGGATCGCAACCCTCGGTGTTGCCCCCGCACCTCACTCAGCCAGTGAGCGGGAACCGGTCTGTATGTGGGATCCGAACCCTCGGCGGGAGCGCTGCCACGCTTCCCAAGCGGCGCACTGTAGCACTGCGCCACCAGGCCGTATGTGGGATCCGAACCCTCGGCGGGAGCGCTGCCACACTTCCCAAGCGGCGCACTGTAGCACTGCGCCACCAGGCCAGCCCATGTTTCATTTTATCATAATATTTAATTTTGATTACTTTTCCCCTTTTCTCATCCTCAAATATTCTGCTTCTAGTTATAAGTTCCTGGTAAAGGAGACCCTTGATGATGTCCAGCAAATTGTCTACGTCTATCTTATCAACTTTCTAATTATCTGCAACTATTTCAAACTTTCTCCATTCTCTATAACACACCAATATCACCTCCCTGTTTGCCATCAGCTTTTCACATACAGTATCTCACAAACAAAAGCCCTAAGTCACCAACAGGTTACCGCAAAAACCTAAACCCACCTGTATCAGAATGTATCCTTTCCTCTTTTCCTTCCTGTTAAAGTAGAAGTGGATTCCATTTTCCTGTGTAAGGGTAACCCCTCCACCTGAGCTCTGCAATCCAACTGCTTTTACTTCTTCAATGCTATCTCCTATTGAGATTTATCTTCCTTTCCTAAATCTCTAACCTCTCAGTAGTCATTAAGTAGTTAACCAATATTCTGGTTTACTTCTTTAGAAATATCCCACCCCTGAGTTAAGCAGGGCCATGTGAGTTACTGGTCAGTGAAATGTGAATGTGAGTCCCTAAGAATAAGGGGCAATTTACTGTACTCCCTCCCTGCTGCCACCAAACCCAGGGATACTTCAAAAGGGTGGAGGCATTATGAGCCTAGGTCTCATAAGGAGCAATGTAAAGCAGAATCTTCAACTGAACCCCAGTAGTCAAGCAATGTGAGTAGAAAAAAAAGCATTGTTGTTATGAGCCATTAAGATCTGGAAGTTGTTTGTTACTGCAGCATAATTTAGCCTACTTTGATTTCCTCTCCAGTGGCTGCTTCCCATCAGTATATGAACATAATCACATTTCTTCACTTTTAAAACAAGAATAAAAAAAACCTCTCTTGAATTCTCCCACCCCATCAGCTACTATCCTATTTTCATCCTCTTCTTTGCTGTAATACTGGAAAATGCTCCATTTCCTCATCTCTCTTTCACTTGCCACCCTACTGCAATCTGGTTTTTACTTGTACAGCTCCACAGAAAGGGCTCCACCAAGGTCACCAAAGACCTTGTTGATAAATCCAACAGACATTCCCAGCTCTTACCTTACAATATCTGTGCAGTGCTCGCCACTACCGATTACTTCCTCTTATTTTTATACTCCACTCTCCCTTAAGTGCTACTCCTGATACCAACACAATCACCTCCTTATTTTTTTCTTTTCTGGCTGTTCCTTCCTAGATCCTTTTGTAACATTCTCTTCCTTGGCCTGTCCCTTAAATTTTTGTGCTCCACATTTTACAGCTCGAGTGATCAACAGACCAGCAGCACTGGCATCATCTGAGAACCCATCTGAAAAGTAGAATCGCTGGCCCCACTCCAGTCCTACATTTTAACAAGATAACAGGTGATTCCTATGCACATTCAAGTTTGAGAGGCATGATTTACAGAATTCAAGCCACACTCCAGCTACTGTCTGTGGGCCCAGCAATTGCCAAATGCTCATATCCAGTCTAGATTTCTCTAGGCATCAGATCCACACAGCCTTCTACCTCTCGGAAATCTTCATTTGTATGCTCTATAATAATATTAAACTTACAGTATCCTTAGCTGAGCCTATCATCTTCCCTCAGAAAGTCTAATTCTTATATAGTCATAAAAGTGTCATCCACTTCCTGTCCCCATCCCTCCAGATTAAAAACAAACAAAAAACCCCACAAAATCGTTTTGAACCTACCCCCCAAATCACTTTAATCTGTCCATCTCCCTCCATCTCCACTGCCAATGTCCTAATTCAAGCTGTCATCCCTCACCTTAATTACTGCAAGGGCTACTTAACTGTTCTCCCTGCACCAGGATTGCCTCTCTCTTCAATCATTCCCTACACTGCTACTAGAGTGAATTTAAATATTTTAAATGCAATCATTTCATTTTTTGTTTAAAATGCTTTAATGACTTGCTGCACTTTCAGAGAAAAGTCAATGAATTTCAAGGTCCAGCTTATTTTTCTAGTACAGAGCTTTTCAAATTACTGTTTGTGAAATTATATTAAAGCATCATGACCATCATCAATAAAAAAGAGAACTGAAAAGTATAAAAACAAACAGAGCAATGTTTAGGTAATTAAGTATTATTTTACAAAATTTTGGTTTAGTTACGCATATGTGTGTACTGGGAGTAAATTAAAACGTATTCCTTTTGTGGGAAGCGTCAGCAAGTTTGAAATCCACTGCTCTACCCTCATCTCACCACACTCCTCTCCATGCTCTTACCTTTCAGCTCTTTGAACATGTTCTTCCTGACTTCTATGTTGTGGCACATGCCTCTGCCTGAAAATCCTTTCCAAATCCCCAAATTGCAAACACACATGCACTTTGCTATGTCTCAAGTTTCAGCATAAGGGTTATTGCCTCTGTAAAACCTTCTAAAATTCCTTGATTTGAGTTATATGACAGCCCATATTCTCCTTATCATAATACGAACAGTCCCTGACTTGAGATGGTTTGATATATGAGTTTTGAACTTTACAATGGTGTGAAAGCTATATGCAATTCAGTAGAAACTGTACTTCAAATTTTGAATTTTGATCTTTTCCCTGCTAGCAGTATGTGGTAAGATACTCTCTTATAATGTAGGTCAGCAGCCTTGACCCACAGCTCCCAGTCAGCCACACAATCACAAGGGTAAACAACTCTACAGTACAGGCTATGCTAAGCTGTGATGTTTTGTAGGTTAGATGTATTAAATGCATTTTCAACTTACAATATTTTCAACTTATGATGGGTTTATCAGGACATAACCCCATAGTAAGTCAAGGTGCATCTGTACTTTAACATTGTATCTTTACTTATTTTAACTGTCTGTAGCCCCTAACACACCACAATCTCTGTAAGATAGGAACTATATCTTATTAACACAATGGCTAAGATACTGTCTCAAACATATTACATCTTCAATAAATATTTGTTGAAAGAATAAGAACATATCATTAGAATACATTCACTTTGTAAACAAGGATTATTTTAAAAGTAAAAGCTATGGAAATTCTATGTGGGAAGCACTCACAACAGGCTGAAACTGGTCAAAGGAAGAGTTAGGACAAAAACATTTATATTTAAAGGAGCTAGAGAGGTGCATTTTAGATAGTAAAACAGTAAGACACTGTAATAACAAGCAAAAATAAAGTATGTTTACAAAGGCTGTAATTATATCAGATTGGGGATATAGGCTCCGATAGAGGAAGTACATAGAGGGAAGCCTGATATGTTGAAGCCATAGTACTAAGATTCCCAGAAAATATATTAAGATGCCACTGACACATATTAATAGACTGAGACAGAAGTGATCTGACTTCCAATCTCAAGTTGTGAGCTAGGGAATGAAATGATCTAATTTTTCATTTAAAAAAATCACCATGGGTGGCTCTATAAAGAACAGACTTAATGAGAAGCAGAAGTGGAAGAGAGAAGATTGGTTTAGAAGACTAGGAACAGAAAACAAAACAGTGGCTTAATCTATGTTAAACTGCCGTAGAGATAAGTAAGTGGTATAGTAAGAAAAGACAGCAGACAGATTTGCTGAAAGGAAAGAGAAGAATCAAAGATAAATCCCATTTGGCCTTGGCAAGTGAATAAATGGCAGTGACTTTATTAAAATGAAGGTTTAGGGGTGGGGATGGAAATCAAGAGTTCCAGTCACTATATCCACTGCACAACTGGCTGTACCCTTCATGTGGAAATAACAATAAACAATTTTTCCTGACTTACTTAACTTTTCACCTGTTTAGGCCTATTTTCCCAACTAGACTGCAAGCTCCTTGAATATTATATTTCTTCAGATTCCTGTAGCAACACGCATAAAAGCATGTTTGAAAGAGGGTAAATAAAACTTGAGAAAGTTACTGTGTACATCATTTTACAGTTCTGACTCAGTAATTCTTCCAATTTCAAGATGGCTTAGATGGGCTTCCCCTGATTTTCAAAAACAAGTTTGCTCAATGAACAAGTTACCTTGGGACTGTCAAAAAAATAGGTTCTTAAAATTAAAAAAAAAAGAGGTGGTAAGTTGTGAAGATAAATGCTTAAGGTCCAAAAAACACTTAAATGAAAATGACATGGTTAAAAGAAAAATAAAGAATGGAATGATTTAGAAATAGTAGCCTAAATGGTCATTTAATTACACGCTGGATCTAATAAGAAAGTGATTATAATGAAGTAACTCAAAAGCTGTTCTAAGGCCCATATTAAGAAAGCTTGTTTAATGATAAAAATTATTTTTTTTAGAGTGGGCCACCACTCAGGGGACTTGATGCTTCCTTTACTACAGACCTTCAAGATACAAATCAAACTGACAATCACCTGAAGAGAAAAAACTAAGCCAAATCAACTCTGGAAGTTTCTTACACTTTTAGGACCCTAACCTTCCTTGTCAAAGAGGAGCTACTAGTCAAGAAATTTCCCCACTCCAACATAAAAACAAAAAGTTTGTGGCTGATAATCTTAACACTAATAATAAAAACTGGACTATTTTTCTGAGCGATCCACATTCAAAAGCAGTGCTCGACTGCTTTTGTTCCGAGCAAACCTATCTCTAACGCAGAAGGTCGCTATTTTCGATTTCACCATGCAAAGAACGTATACGAAAGTTACAACAATTATTCTAGGGGACAGGAAGCCAGACATACAACACTCCCAGTAAAGGTAATTTCGGTTGGAATCTGAATTTAACATTCGTTTTGTCCACAGTGCTCACGTCCCTCAAGCAAAGTATACATTCAGCCTGCATACATTCTGCTCCGTGTCAGACTCTCGGCTGACGTTAAGCGGTGTAACAACCGCTAAAGGAAGCTTCTGCATAACACATTCGCACCTCGTTTACACTTCACAAAGCATGTGCTTCAATTAAGAAACAAAAGCAAGGAAGAAGGGGCTGCGGGAGGGAAGAGAAAACCTGTCCTGCCTCATGCCCTCTACTATCAAATTTCAGGTTACCTCTTGCCTCTCCGCGTCCTTGTTCTTCTGTCCCTGTTTCTTCGCGTACCACAAGCCGATTTCGCGGCCCTTCAAATGCCCGGGATGCCTGCCCCGGCCTCCTCGACCACCCCCTCCTCCGCCGCCGCCGCCTCCGGAGCCTCGGCTCCCTCCGTGGCCCCCTCCATAGCCTCCACTGGAGCTGCGGGGCCCGCCATCGCGGCCCCAATTTTGATGGTACTCATAGCTCATTGTCACTGCGGACCCCAACCCGTGAGAACCCACAGCCACTGGAAATGGCGTCCGGCCTGGAAGCGGGTGCACGTCCACTTCCGTTTTGCTTCCGGCGCCCAGCGCGAATGGGAGGGCCATGTAGAGTCACAAGCAGCCATTTCCGGTGACGTCACTGGCTGACCGCGGCGGAGGCCGGAGGGGTGGCTACGGTGGGGTTGTCTACCTTTGCGTCCCTGGAGGGCGAGCCAGCAGAAGGCTCGTGAGCTTTCTTTCCCCAGGTCCGGGAAATGAAGAAGTGGCTTTTGGGTGTTATTATTCCTCTTGGTAAAATCCGGAGTTTGCTTCCAGTTAGGCCCTGGATGGTTAGTAAACGTCAATTGAAACAAAAGAAATGGTGGGTCGTTGCACTGTCTCCTAAAAGTCTAAAGAAATTAGTTCGTCACACGTGTTGAAAACAGCCTGGCATCTTTCAAATATGTAATTAAATATAAAAGTGCCCCTGCCTCCTTAGAAGGATTGTCATTCACTTCCTTTATCCAGTAGCATAAGATGAGCATGTCTACCCAAATTCAGTACAGAGCATTTAAGCAATGTGAATAAACAGCCGCTGAAGATCTATGTTCATTAGAAGCCATATACTACTTATTAACTAGACCACTGAGTGTCTTGTGCAAGCTGTTCTTGAATAATGAAGTGATTGGGCCACACCGGCTTCGATGTTCACCAGGCAATATCCAGTTCGTTTATACATGTAACTGATTTAAAGGTGATGGGGATACTCACTGAACAAGGCAAGTATGGCATGAGCTGGTTCGTTTTCTGCTGCTGATTACAAAATACCTGAAACTGGGTAATTTATAAGAAAGTAGTTTATTTCTTATAGTGTTGGAGGCTAAAAAGGCCAAGGTCTAGGGAGAACATCTGGTGAGGGCCTTCTTCCTGGTGGGAGCTTTCTACACTGACCCATTGCAGGGCAGGGTATCACATGGTGAGGAGGGGCAAGAGCACTTTTTAACATGATTACTTGCTCTGCTTGTAAAGCCACCAGTCCACACCCATGATCTCATTAAACCATTAACCGTTACTCCATGAATGGATTAATCCATTCACGAGAGCATAGTCCTCACGATCCAACTGCCTTATAGAGGCCACAGCTTTCAATACTGCCACATTGGGAATCAAGCTTCCACATGAGCTTTGGAGAGGACAAACATTAAGACCAGAGCAGATGGGCAAAGAAAATGTAGAGTTTTGAAATTATCACTATTGTTTATCACTGATCTAATCTCAGAGTTTCCTCCTTAGAGGGCAACAAGGGAATAGTGGAAACATTTTAAAATTGCCAGCTAGTTTTTCTTGGTTTTTTCAAAACAGTCTTGTTTCGGGTAACCATGAAGTTCCACTTTCTATTAGGCCTTTTTCTCTCCAAGATGTTGCTTGCTGTAAGAGATTTGGAGAAAGCCTATTTTTAATCATAGATGGCATCCCTTACATCTTTGCTGGTTTCTGTTTTAGGGTTGCCAGTCTGATCTGGTGTCTGGGCCAATGCATGTTAATGAAGGCTATACTAGTGATCTCATCACCATCAGCATGGTCGTTGGCCCTGGCCAGTTAAACCTCACTTTAGGAATTGGTGTTCTGGATCCCCCTGAATTCAGCTGTCACTCCAAGTTGATTTGCTGGCAGGCAATCCATCTGAAGAACTCTGCTACAGGGTTGCTTGTTTCCATCCCAGTAATTTCTCTGGTAAGAATGCTAACTAGCATCATCACCTGCCTCTTCACCTCCTATGCCATAAATGACAACTTCTGCATCCCTTCTACAGAAGGTTCTAGAGTGCTGCTATTGTTGCTATACAGCAAACCACCTGAAAATTCAGTGATATAAAACAACCGTTAAGCTAATGTATTCCATGGGTCAGGAACTTGAAAAGTACACAGTGAGGATGGCATTTCATTGTTCCAAGATGGATGGAGTTTCTTCTGGCAAGACTTGATAGCCAGGGGCTAGAATCATTTGGAGGAATCTTCACTCAACTACCTGGCAGTTGGTGCTGGTTTTTGGTCAGAACCTTGGCTGACTATGGGCTAGTACACCTACACATAGGCTCTCCATTTGGTGTCTCTGTGTAGCCTAGCTGAGCCTCCTCACAACATGGCAGGTTGGCTCAAAGAGCAAGTATTACAAAGAAAGGTGGAAGTATATGATAGTTTTATTAACAGCCTCAGAAGCCACATAGCATTCCTTGCACTGTGCTTTACCAGTTGAGATGGTTACAGATGTCCACCCAGATTTAAAGACAGTTAGGGCTTCACCATGTTATGGAAGGAGAGCTGAAGTCACATGATAGGAAAAGCATGTAGGATGGGAGATATTTCGTCCTTCTTTGAAGATACAATCTGCATAAGTGCTAACTCAGGCCTTCCAAAACTATGTTGCACCATAATTTTGACAGTATTACATTGTATCATCTTGCATCACAGACACTAGCACTGCTGTCCATGTGACAACTAGAAGTAGGAAAAGGAATGATAATACTATAGCATTTATTGAGTGCTTATTATGTGGCAGGCACTATGAGTAGGTGCACTATTTTTCTCTATTTTACTATAATTAGGCCAAGAAACTTAAGGAATATAAGGACTAAAAAGAATGAGCCTCTTCTAGGAAAGCATATCACTATTGCTGATACAGCTCATGAGAATAGTGCACTCCTAGGAAACTTAGAGGGAAAAAAAACATAGGTATTGGTAAGCATTCTTCATGCCTCCTTGCTTTATTTAGTTTGCGTTTTCAGTTATTGAAACCTCATATATCTATTATAGATATTTAAAAAACCCTAATGGACATATTTTGAATCCTCTCCCCTATAAGTAATATTCTGCATTAGACATTTCACAGTTGCAACTCCAGAGAGGGGAGATAGTGAAGTCTGCCTTGGGAAAGATGATATGAAGGAATGAAAACCCTTGGCACTTAGGAAGTAGAACAAGAAGCTTCATTATTATAGGAGAGTGTGGAGAAAGTGAGGAGGGGGAGAAAGAGAGGAGGATGTGGTTGTATCATGACCTCCCCCCACCTCAGCTTTTGCCATGTGTCCTGCTTAGAGCTCCAAAAATAGAGTATGCTTTGAAATACATTTAAAAAAAAAATCTCTGGTTATAGCTTTTAGTATATCCATTGTTTGTGCTAATGAGAAAAATGACTTACTGAGGCCTTGTGTTTTCCTGGAATTCTAGGAGATTTTACTTTTTCATGATCTCAAATTGATCTGTCCTCCTTTATGCCAATTTTTTCCATTCCTTTCACCATCTTCTCTTGCTTCACTTATCATTGGGGAATGTTTTAGACAAGTCAGTATTTTCTCTTGGTCTTTATACTCAGATTGGTGAACACTAAGGTCCTTGATCCAAGAATACCAAACCTTTGCTCTACTCAAATCCATCAATGGCTTTCTTCTTGAATGGAGAAGAGAATCACGTCATCATCTAGGTATGGTTTCCATGTAACACAGAGAAGCTGAAGATCCATAAGTTTCATCTTTTATCTTAAAATTGTATATGTAATGCTATGGCTAAAAGGATTTTAGAACTAATCTAAATTATAATGCTCCTAGGCTCCCCTCATTCCCAACCTAATATTCACTCTAGAATAAACTGAATTCTAGAGAGTTTAAGTGTAGGTCAAGTGGTGGTAGAGTCAGGTTAAGAATCAGGGATTGAAACTAAGCCACCTCGTTTCTAGCCCCAGTGCCCTACCTTTCCATTGTACAACCAAGAAAGTTACACACCAGGAAAGGTTAAAGATTGTGGGCAAATCACTTAGAGTCCTTAAAGAAAATAGATGGCAAACCTTGCAAGTGAGGGTAATTCAAGGAGGATACACACACACACACACACACACACACACACACACTATACTCAGATTCAAGTTTAAAGAGACCATAAGTGATTTCAGTAACCTGGAGTTAGTAGCAACATGTTACCATCTCTAGGCCCAAATGGATGCAGAGAGGGAGTAGCTACTAGCACCCTGAAAGAGAGCTGAGATCACAAGGAGCAGTGATCGTTGGTAAAGGGGCAGATCCAGCCCAAGGTGATCTTGCATGGAAAGAGTTAGAGAAAAAAATACCCGATCACTCTCCTCCTCTCTCATGCCTTCCTGGAAGTCCCCATTGGTCAAACACAAAGGGAAGCAGAGGGTATGTCAAATTTATTGATGTAGTTTGTGCAGGTCAGTCTCTTGGGGCAGAGAGTAGGGTGGAGAAAAGTAGATGGAACTGGAGGAGAAATGTTAAGATATCCAACACTCTGGTCCAGAACATACTTTGATGCTCTTGGTTGCAATGAATGGTAAATATGCCACTACGAGGCAAAAATCAATCGGAGGATTTCTCTGTCCCTTTATGCCTTATCAGGTACAGGTATCATCTGCTTCCAGCCTCCCATTTGAATCTAATTGACCAAACATTCAGTGATTCCAGATGGCATTGCTTTTTTCATGGTTTGGGGCATTTTATAGTTTGGGTTGGGAGTGGGAGTGTCCTCACTTTTTAGCTAAGACCAGTCCTTCTTTTATTATCTTCTCTCAGGGTAGGTCGTCCTTGGTGACATTGAGTGTCCTCACTTTTTAGCTAAGACCAGTCCTTCTTTTATTATCTTCTCTCAGGGTAGGTCCTTGGTGACATCTAATCATAATTTTCTTATTTTACTCAAAGTACTTAAAAGAAAATTTATGTTTATTTTCTAATTGAAACATAAAAAGCAGATAAGATTGACTTTTAACAGCAAATTTTCAGACATTACATGGTCTCCTTTTTAGTTACAGTAGGAAAAGAGCATGTAGCTGTGGCATAATTTGCCTAAGAACTATAGATAGGCTGACAATATAATTTATTGTCCAAATGGGGACACTTTTAATAGTGAAAGAAGACACAACTATTATGTCAGGAAAACAATTGTAAAATGGGACTATTCCAGGCAGACACTTGTATAAACAATTGTCATGTCTGCTAATTCCATGTTTTCCATTAAAGGGAAAAAATTGTGACTTGGTGAGGTCAAAGGAGAGACTGGGAAACACAGTTTTCAGGCTTCTAGCTTCTGTGATATATGGAGAAGTTTAGAAACATTGGACATTAACAAGGGTATTAACAGAGAATAGATGCCAGGGTAATTTTTTCCCTCAAGCCATTGGCTTCATAGATAAGCATTTAAGAAATGTGTAATTTATTTAATGTTACTAAGGAAATCTTCCTATTTATTGAATTAGAATACAGTTCTGTCACCATATCCACTACTACATACCTAATCCTAGCCAATATCATCTCTAACCCACACTATTAAAATGGCCTCCTCACTGGTCTTTCTGCAGTCATCTTTGTACCTGTATAGTTTTTGCCTCTTCCCAACAGGCAGTGGTTTTTGAAATCAGATCGTGTCACTGCTTTGCTCAGAGTCCTCCAACGGCTTCCCACCTCATTTAGAATAACACTCAAAGTCTATACCTGGTCTGCAAGACACTAGTGACCTGTCTTTCCCTGCCCTTATCTGTCTTTATTCCCAACCACTTTCTCCCTTTCTCACTCATCTGTTTCACATTGACCTCTTTGATGATTTCACAAAATACAAAAGGCACACTGCTACTTCTGGAAACTTGCTGTTCCCTTTGCTGGGACTATGATTTCTTTAGATAATCACACAGCACCTTTCCTCACTTTATTTGCATCTCTAATGAAATGTTACTTAATCAGTGAAACCTTTTCAGACTAAATTATTGAGAAAAGCACTCTATTATTGTCCCTTTAATCTAATTTTTCTTCTTATCACTTACTACCACTGCTCCCTATTTTCTGTCAATACACTTAGCACCATATACACATATACGTGTGTATATATGTAAATGTGTAGTAGAGAACTTAACCTTATCTAAAGATAAGAAGTCTAGCTTTTTCCCTCAGCTTTTGGGGAGATAATCTCTAATCCCTTGGAATGTCATGCTTGATAAGAATGTCTCTATTTGTCTGAGGTCCTTGGACCAGCCAGACAGTGACAGTGTCATTGAGAGTGAGGGCTTTGGGTCATTCCATGTTAGCTTGATCTCCGGAGGAGGTGGAAACTGAGATCAGTCATGTGAGCAGTCAACCATGCTTCTCCTGCCCCTACTGTGATGGAGGCCTCATGAACACTCAACACCACAGTTCAGATGAGCTTTCCTGGTTGGATACTCAGCATGTTGTCACACATTGATGCTAGGAAAGTAATGCTACTCATGACTCTTTGGGGAGAGTACAACAGAAGTTCCCCATCTAGAACTTTTCCTGTACTTTGCTCTATGCACTTTTTCCTTGGCTGATTTTAATCTGTATCCCTTCCCTGTAATAAACATAACCATGAGTATACAGATTTCCATGAGTTCTGTGAGTCCTAGTGAGTTACTGAAACTAGCAATGGTTTTGGGAACTCCCTGAACTTGCAGTTGGTTTCAGGAGTGAGGAAAGTCTTGTGTGGTCTGTGATCTCTAACTTTGCAGTTGGCAAAAATTCACTTTGTGTGTGTGTGTGTGTGTTTTGTTTTGTTTTGCTTTTGTTCACAGTTATAATTCCAACTACCTAGAACAATTTCTAGGATTTAGTAGTCATTCATTAAATATTAAATTGAAGAGATGAATGAAAGTGTCTAAAAAGTATAATTAAGAAATTAAGAGAAAATTTATTTATGAAACTTAATACTACAGAACCATGTCTAGAAAAGCTTCCAAATAATGCATAACCATGTCTCTTTTTATTATACTCTGAGTAATACTGAGATGTTTGTTGTCTTCAAAAGAAGTTATCTCTGTCAGTCACAACTCTTGGAAGTCTTAGGGACATATCACATATATCAAGTGTTTACATTATTTGGGAGTTTTAGGAATTATGTGTTAGCAGTTTGCAGTAGTCACCACCAGATGGTGATATTTTTATTATGTAATAAGTAGTTTTTGTCTTCAGATACCTGTACGTCAATTTTTAGAGAAAAGAGATAAGCTATATAAAGTAAGGTATTTATTAATAACAAGAACGATATAACTACAGGAGGGAAGATATTTGGATATAGCACAGGTATCAGTAAAGGTATTTCCTATACCAGAAACACATTCTTACAATTGGAATCACTCCAAAGAGTAAGCAGACTTGAGTAAACTTACCCTCTTAACAAAAATTTGAAGGAGCTGTTCATGCTTAGGTATAGACCTACTAGATTTTTCTTGTCATTCAGCTACTGTTGGCTTGGAGTTTGAACTGTTACAGGGTAGTAATACTCAAACTACATCCTTGGGCTAAATAATCCTGGTATTGTTTCAATATAGAAGAATTTTTAAATGTATCCATTGCATAGTTAATTCAACAACCAAGGGCAATTAAATGGGAAAATCCTAGTGTTTTTTATTTTTATTTTTAATTTTTCAGTTCTCCCACCTAAACCCATGTCCAGTGAAAAGGAAATGGAAGACAGGAGGGAAAATGGCTATTACTGTTTTCCAATCCAAGTCTTATACTTTAAACCTTGATTTCCATCATCTCCTTTCCATTCCAAGTGCTGTGCAGTTATAAAGAATTTGTTTGCATTCAAATCTTTACTATTTTCTTCAGTTTTATAATGATCCTGTTTCTAATTTCCTTGTTGCCAGAAATTACATTTTAAGGCATCAATATCACCTTTCTCTTTCAAGAAAATCATACATCCAAACTTAAGATATTAAAGCCTGTTTTTTACAAAGCTTTATTAGAATATTCAATTTTTTTATAAAGACATTTAATGCCACTGATTTATATTATCAGATTGATCTACCTATTTGTCATTGTGTTAAAATAGCCATCAATTTTGGTGATACAAAGACTTTTAAAATTCTCGTTATATTTTTAACAAGAATACACTTGAATTTGAATTTATACATTATGCATTATTTGAAGCTTGCTTTACAAACATACTAATGGCATTACATTTGCTTCCCAAATTTATATAATAAGATACTGAGAAGTTAAATGAGAGATGGAGAAAGTCTATGGGGATAAAATTATTGTGAAAATGACTTGTATTGATGGCAAGATAATGCCTTCTGAAGATGAAACAATCTGAAAGCCCATGTTAAGTAATTTAGAATTCTGGTTCAATATACTGAAATATAAGCCAAAATAAATCATTTGAAAATTAACTTACTCAATATGTAAATAAATAAATAAGATATGTGAGTGAGTTGGGGAATGCAAAAAGTCTAAGGCCATGTAAAATGTCAACTCAATAACTTTGGAAAAATAAGCATTTAAGTAACACATTTAATATATGTTTACAGAAAGATTAGAATAAAACAGTTTGAAAAAAATCACTTCATAATTGAAATATACATTATTAATATTCTGACAAGGTGATTCCTGCATTTTTTAAATGCAATGCATTTTAAAATTAATTTTGAAATGTACACCTTATGATCATTTAATAAAATGTAAAATTGATTTTTTTGTTTGAGATAATACATTTCTTTGTAGAGAAAAAAACCCACCTAAACTTGAAATAATATTTGAAGTAAATTTTTCTGTGCTTGAAGAATGGCTAAGAAAGTTTGCCCAATCTGCAGCTTTAGAAGCAGACACTTGTTATAGCTTTAGAGGACTTTCCTCTGCTTTATCCAAAAGCTTGTTACTACGGTTGAGTGCACCCCTCAGAACTTAAGCTGGCAGTATTTTCCCCAAATTTCCATTTAAATAAAACAATTCTTGGGTGAAGTGTACAATTACAACCTTTTTGATAATGTTTGAGTTAAAGACTATTTCTAATTACACCTGTAACATACAACATATTTGTTTTAAGGGCCAATCTTGACATACTGAGAAGATGGAAGGAAAAAGACTGTTATATTTAAAAAAGGAAAAAAAAAAACCCATTCAGTAAACAATTTGTATTTGATAGGAATGAAGGGAAGAACTATTTATAGACTAGAGACACGCATGTTTCCAAGTTGGAAAGTAATATGCCATTTTACACAAGCATGTATTTCCTAGACATCAGTGTAAAGCTAGAGCAGTAATTGTAATAAGCTGTTTTGCTAGCCATATTCAGGCAAGCCTCTTCAAATGAAACTTGGTGTTTTGCTACATTTTTTCCATTCCCAAAATGTCTCTTCTTTTCCCCTTGCAGTAAAGGCCAACATTATGTGTAGAAACATGTGCATGGGATGAGTGTATTCGTTGAGTTTATACAACTTTCTGTTTATTCCAAGGTTGACAAACATAGGCAAAAACATTAGTAAACTAGGCCAAGATTTGATTTAGAAAAGATATTTTAGAAATTGGATAAGAAATAAAATCTTTTAATTACCACAGTGTGTGATCTTTAGGTAACACATCAAATGCACTTAAGTGTTTTCACTAGTTCCAGCTGTTTGCACAAAAAATAATTAACTAGTAAATCAGTAAAGCTTATGTAAACCAACAAATAAAAGGAAATCGGTCCTGGAACAAAGGTGTTGGTTTGGCAGTTTGAAGTTGCAGAGCTACTTTTATTTCTGGGAGAGCAGATGATCACTGAGTAGTACGCTTGCTTTCTTCCTCTCTTTTCCTGTAAGCTTTATTTAACAGCTGGATTTCCTCCTGGTAGCCATCCCTTTCTTGATGCTGCCTTTTACTGTTCCGCCTGTGTGCTTCCACAGTGTCTGGAATGGAGATGTTGATATCACCATCAGGATTACTCGTGGGTAAAAAGAGGGAGTATGAGGCTGTTTCTCCTAAATCACATGAAACGAATCTGTTTTCTTTCCGTGAGTAGCGTAGGGATGGAGATCTGACTTGTGTGGAGGACTGGCTGATGTTGCTAATGATTGACACAGTGTCCAAGGCCTCCTCATTATCGCAAATTTCAAGAACTTCCAGGTGTATTTTCACACTGGTGTCCGCAAATGTGGAGGGAGAATCTTCTGAGTTTGGTGCATGGCCAACACTTTTGGATCGATAGACTTCTATTTTCTTAGAGGCTGGGGTTATTTTTTGCCCTTCTGTGCTTACCTCGTAGGTAGAAAGAGATAAAGTTTTCCCTGTAGGCGCCTGGAGAGACACAGTCCCCTGGAATGCACAGAGGGGAATGGCAAGGGCACCACCGGAACGCTGGGGATAAAAACAAAATTGTTATTATTGAAAACTAGTTTCTGAGATTGAGACATTTAGAAATGATTTTACTCATCAAAATAGTAAAGTTTTTCTATTTCAGATCCATTTCCCTAGAAACCTTTCACAGAGATGGAATTTAAATTCTGCCAACAAAGTGCCAGAGCTCAGTTTGCCCTAGGACAAATAAGAGGTCTAAAGGAGGGCAGCCAGGAACCTTTCCTTGAAGGGATTGCTTTTGTATTTTTGTTACATATTCAGTGACATTAAAAAGTTTGCATAGGTTGAAAGAAATGCAGACTGTGTTATCAACATGCACTTTTTTTCTCTCCCTCTTTAGTATCACAGAGAGAATGATAATCATGAAACTATGACTCAGATTAAGTATAAAAGATATTTCAGCTGTTAGATTTGAGCATACATAAGAGAAACCAAATGTCACCAGAACTGTGTTACAATGTGCTTGCCTTCCTACAGAGAAATCAGTCATTAAAGTAAACCCAATAATAGAGAATTCCTCCACATGTCTGCAAAAACTTGCCTGAAAGTTTAAACCTTTTCTACTACATTTTGTGTATTAGGTGTTTCTTCAAACTCTACTCACCACTGAGAGGTGCTTAAAAAATGAAGAAAATACGACTGATTCTTATAAAAGTTTGTACTTTATATGTTGATTCATTCCTCTATACTTTTGACTAATGCCTTTTTTGATTATGTGTTAGTCTCAGAAGATGGTAATATGTCATACTTCCAGAGCAGTGGTTCCTAAACCTGAGTCTCCAAACCAGCATCATCAGCATCATCTAGTAACTTGTTAGAAATGCATATTTTTGAGCCCCATAGCAGTCTACTGAATAAGAAACTCTGGGTAAAAAGCCTCCTAAACCTGAGTCTCCAAACCAGCATCATCAGCATCATCTAGTAACTTGTTAGAAATGCAGATTTTTGAGCCCCATAGCAGTCTACTGAATAAGAAACTCTGGGTAAAAAGCCCAACAGTCTGTATTTTAGCAAGCCTTCCAGGTGATTCTGTTGCATGGTAAAGTTTATGATTCTTTGCTCTAACTAAAGAAATGTTTTATGACAGAAAAAAAAGAGGTTGGGGGATGGTGGGTGTCAACAGACAGTTTTTATGCATGTGCCTACCACCTGTAAAGCCTGGAGTTACTAATTAAATTGGCCTAAGTATGTCTTTCCACCCGGGGAATTGGCATGAGGTATAATGGTGTTTTGCCAGTCTAGGATGACCAACCTTCCCGGTTTCCTGAACTGTCCCAGTTTTAGCACTGAAATTCCTGCATCCCAAGAAGTCCCTGGGATGTATAGTTATATATGCTATAAACGAAGGGCATATTGGGGGAAGATATTTGTAGCCTGTATAAGACAAAGTTTAATAGTCATAATATAGAGTGTTTTCTAAATCAGTAAGATAAACTTTTCTTCTGGCAGAAAAGTGGAAAAGGGAAGTGGGCAAAACAATTAAAGAAGTAAAAATGTAGAGTAAACACATGAAAAGATGTTCAATTTCACCAATAATCAAAAAAAGTAAGTAAAAACAATGATTCATGTTTAGTTTCTCAGATCGCCCTCCATAAAAAAAAAAAAAGAAAAGAAAAATAAAAAGATGGATGCTATCTTTAGAGTGCATTTTGATTATATTTGACTATAAATTAAAACTGCATATACTTACCAGCAATGCTACTTCTGAGAGTCAGTTCCACCAAATAACGGCACATATAAATTTATTTCAGCACTTTTGCAGGTCCCCAAATTAGGAACAGCCTAAAAGTCCATCATTCAGAAAATGTTGAATAGATTGTGACACAGTTATGTACTGGAAAACTACCTTGAATGGATGAGGTAAAGCCATAAGTTCTGCCAGGGTAAAATAATTTCCATGTATTTTAGATTATAAAAGCAAACTGCAAAACAATATATATATTATGATCCAGTTTTCTTATAGAAAGAAACTCACCAGAAATCAACCCAGACGATTATGCATGTATAGAAGTAAAAATAGATACACAGACACACAAACACACACATATATATAATAGGCATAGAAAAAAGGTTTGAAAAACTACACACCAAACAGTTCTTTTCCCCTGGGAGTGGATAGAGGCTGGGCATTTCAATTTTTATCTTTTATATTTATAAATTGTTAATAATATGATTTCTCTCATGGAAGTTTATTAAGTGGGGGAAGGGGAGGCAGAGACTACAAAATATTACTAGACAGACATCCAGGATGCAGGGGTGGGGTACTGCCTTAGCATAGTTAGCCTTAGGGTTCGACATTGGGAGTTTGTGCTGTGTTGGGAGTTTGTTCTATTTCTAGGTTAGGAGAGAGGAGACAAGCTGGGTGGAAGGTGCTGTCTCAAAGTTTTGCCATAATGGTTTGGTTGGCTAGAATGAGAATCCCAATTGCAGTATAGCTAATTTCCCATTCATGTTTTAAAAGAGTAGAGAATGGCATAGAAAAAATAAAATTTTAAATTTCTAAAAGGAAAGGCTATTAAGATAATCCTCTGGTCCTAGTCAGACAAAAATTTATAGCACTCTCAAAGTGGCCATTTTCTGTGATAGGTCAGAGTTTCTTCACTAATTTTACAGGAAAAATTGTTATAAACATTTTAGTCCAACAAACTGTCAATGTAAACATTAAGTTCAAATAGAGTCCTGCCTCAGGAGAAAAAAAAAAAAAAAGAAAGAAAGACAATACCGTACAACTCGAGTCATAAACCACAAGGTAGCTGGCAGATTTGCAAATCATTCAAAAAGTTCAAGAACAATTTTAGAAAGAGATTAAAAGTAAAAAGCAATAAAATCATAAGGGAAAATGAACGTTAATTTTAAGAAGTAAGAGATAATACAAAAGATTGTTACTACTGGTTTATCTTCATGTATGTCCTGAGTTGAGTAGTGTCCCCCAAAATTCGTGTCCCACCAGAACCTGTGAATATGACCTTCTTTGGGAATAGCTTTTTTGCAGGTGTAATCAAATCAAGATGAAGTCATACTGGATTAGGATGGGACCCAATGCAATGACTGGTGTCCTTATAAGAAGAGAGAAATTGGGACACAGATGCACATGGAGGAAAATGGCCACGCGAAGATGTAGACAAGTGACTGCAGTTACTGTGTGGGCTTGCTGGGAGCCATCAGAAGCTGGAAGAGGCAAGAAAAGATCATCCCCTAGAGCCTTCAGAGGGATCAGGACCCTCCTGACAACTTAATTTCAGACTTCTGGCCTCCAGAAATATGAGACAACAAATTTCTGTTGTTTTAAGCCATCTAAGCTTGTGGTAATCTGTTATAGCAGCCCTAGGAAGCTAACACAATGTTTTACGTGAATGGGTACAAAAATACATATGAAAATAAACTTATTTTGCAAAGTCCTACAACTGCACATTTTCTTCTGGAGACTTGGGCTATGCAGTCAATACTATCAAATCCACATAGAGTGTAATCTCCTCAAGGGAAGGGAATATTTCGTTGTTGATCTTGAATTCTCTACCATCTATACACAGTACCTGACATATGGCAGGATCTCAAAAATATTTGTTAAATGAGTAACTAAAAGTGTGTGTGAATGAATGAATCTGTAAATATTGACCTTCTCTATGCTTTTTAGATTCCATATTTTAAGTTTCGAAAGCATAAAAAATAAGATCATGTTTAAAAATATTGCTGTTCAAATTTATTTTTATATTTTAACAGGCCTATATAAAGGATAACAGTTACAAGTGCATCAGAAGGTCATATTAGAACATACTCTTTTTATAAAAATAAAATATTATGGGCCTGAATTGTACATAAAAGTTTGCATGACAAAGAATGATAGGTTCAGAGAACATAAAGCTGTTCATTTCATAGTCTCTGCTTTCTTCCTATTTAAAAGACTATGAATTAGCATATGCTGTCAGGAATAATGATAATCCATTATTGCTGTATTCCTGAGTGTAGGTGGCTGGGAGTTTTTTTATTTGGTAATGAAAAGCAGTCTCTAAACCTAACAAATGCTCCAGAAGGAGAGAGCATGCCATGTAAACACATTAGCACAAATAATCTGCCGTGATAATTGATTCAGACTTACTGACCTTGGGCATATTGAGCATTTTTATTTCTTCACTATAAGCTGCTAGGTGAATTCAGGGTGAAATTATAATATAAAAAGAATTGCTGCAAAATTCTCTCCTAATAAGGTGAGGTATTCTGTTGAGTATCTGAATCATTCAACTTAAGAAAGACATATTACAGCACATCGGATCATAACACTTAGCAGAGAACACGGAGTTGTAATTTCTCATTTTATAAAGGGAAAACTGACAGCCAGAGAGGTTAAACTCCTTGCCCAGGGTCACACAGGTAGTAGTGGTAGGACTGGTGCAGGACTCAGGTTTCTTAATAACTGGTTAAGCACATTTTCCACTGTACTGTGTTATTACTTTAAAAGAAATCTGCTTTAGCCAGGAGTAGGTCATGGGTTTTCTGCCCTGGAACTAGAATTATATCACTAACTTATTAATAGTTCAACTGACTAACAATTTTAATCTCAATTAAACTCGTATAGATGATCTTTAGGTGATTTAGGTGACTTTCGGGACTCTAAAAGTACAGACATTGAGGGATTTAAAAGAAAAAAAAATAGCAGGGAAATCAAGAACTTTGTGAGAAAAATAAAAGCAGATTTTTAATCATTTAAAAAATTTTATTCAATATGTAAAATAATGTGGTTACTATATTTTCATATATTCAACTCCCAAAATATTCCTCGTGTCATCTTTATTTAAATTATTATTAAGCCAAATAAGAGAAAAAGACACATGAACTGCTCAAGGGAAAGAGAAAATAGGGGCAAGAAAATAAGGGCCTTTATAAAGGGCCTATTATGTGGCATGGAAAGTGCTGGGTATTTTAACACATTTCACATTTAATCCTCCCAGACCTTAGGGCTATAGATTAAGCTTTTTCATTTTAATGATGAAAAGTCCAACAATTGAGTAACAGATTTAGGATCAATATTCATCATGACAAATATTCATTGATCCTGCTGAACACGAGCTGTGTATCAGGCTTTTTGTTACACACTTTATACATACTTTCTTATTTAATATTCTCATTAACTTTATAAAATAGAGACACTAATTAGCCCAAGTTTATAGATGATAAAATTGAATCGTGAGGAGGTAACACAAGTCTGTAAGTGACAGAGTCAAATCCAGATCAGGATTATCTGTCTCAAACCCTCTGCTCTTAGCCTTCCTGCTACCTCAGGGCACAGTGCTGTGAGATAAGATGTAACACCTCACACTCCTGATTCAGGCAGAGCCCTGCAGCGTCCTCTGGAAGCAAGGAGGGAGAAGGCATTTATTCATATTAGGAAGTGAAGGGAGTATTTAGAGAAGATATTTAGGAAAATGGTTTCTGTTTAAAAGATCATTTCAGTAGGCAGGAAAGTGGCAGAAATGTATTTTAGGATGAGGGAAAGGAAGAGCAAAGGCAAATGGAATTTTGGAGATATCATGTACTAGAGGGAAATGAGGCTAGAAAAAGAAGTGAGGCCCAGCCCTGAAAGCCCTGAACACCAAGACAAATTTTGATTGCATGCCGTAGGCAACAGGGAACTACTGGTGTTTTTTCTACATTTATGAAAAGGTTGGAAATGAAGATACTTGGAGTGTCTACCATGTGCAGTTACTGTGCTTGGCACTTTACATGTGAAATCTAATTTAGCATAATCAGGAGGGTGGTAAAATTATTTATATTTTACAGATAAGTAAATTGAGGTATGAATTGGCTAATTAACTTGCCTAGGTTACATAGAAAGGTAAAGTTTGAACTGTGATCTAAACTCAGCTCAGATTCCAAATCCCTTCCATTGTGCCACTCAGGGTCTAAGAAGATAACTGAGGATCCTGTGAAAGACGGATTTGAGGAAGGAGAGTGTGGTGGCAAGGAGAGACATTAGAAGGTTTTTAAAATCATATGTGCAAAGAAAAAGAGGATCCAAACTTCAGTACTGGTTATAGAAATCATAAGTGTGAAATGGGCTATTGATATTGCAGAAGCAAAATTCTTGAGGTAATGGTGAAGTCACATACCTTACCTCTCTTAGCCTCAGTTGTCTCATCTGCAAATTATGAAGATTAAATGAATTATTGCACAAAAAATGATTAGTGGAGTGCCTCACGCATAGGAAGTGCTCCATAAATGTGAGCTATAATTGGAAGGCAAATAAGAAAGATGAATCCACGAAGTTTTTGAGGTTTCTAGTGTCTAGAACCAGTAGCTGAGATAAGGAGCTTAGGAAGAGGTAGATAATTTAATGCTATTTCTACAACATTTATTTCTGTAACGTGTAGCACATTCGTCTGCAGTACTTTATTCTTATGGTATAAATAAACATATTCAAAGCCAGAGACTGCAGAATGGATTAAAAACATGACTCAACTATATACTGTCTAAAAGAAACTCACTTCAAATATAATATGGGCAGGTTAAAAGTAAAAGGATAGAAAAAAATATTTCACACAAATATCAATCAAAGGAAAACAAGAGTGGCTATATTAATTTCAGATAAAATAGACTTCAGAGCAAAGGAAACTACCAGAGAGAGAGAGAAGAATATTATATATTCATAAAAGGATAAATCCACCAAGAAGACATAGAAATCCTAAGTGTGTATACAGCAAACAACAGAGCTATAAAATATATAAAGCAAAATGAATAGATC